ATGACGAGACGGCGTACAGAGAGGAGGTCGAAAACCTGACATCTTGGTGCCAGGAGAACAACCTCCATCTCAACATCAGCAAAACAAAGGAGCTGATTGTGGACTACAGGAAGCAGCAGGGAGAGGGACACGCCCCCATCGCCATCAATGGGACTACGGTGGAGAGAGTCAAAAGCTTCAGGTTCCTTGGGGTCCACATCACTAAGGACCTGACATGGTCTCTTCACACCACCACCATCACCAAGAAAGCTCGACAGCGGCTCTTCTTCCTCCGCAGGTTGAGGAGGTTCAAAATGGATTCCAGGATACTCTGCAACTTCTACAGGTGCACGATAGAGAGTATCCTCACTGGCAGCATGACGGCCTGGTACGGCAGCTGCACCGACCTCGATCGTAAGGCTTTACAGAGGGTGGTGAAAACTGCACAGCACATCACCAGGACGGAGCTGCCATCCATGGAGGACCTTTACTCCCAGCGGCTCAGGAAGAAATCACTACGGATTCTCAAAGACCCCCATCACCCCAGCCACAAACTGTTCTTTCTGTTGCCGTCTGGCAGACGTTACCGCAGCATCCTGGCAAGGACAAGAAGATTCGGAGACAGTTTCTTCCCGCGGGCAGTGAGACTGTTAAAAAAATTGAACTGTTGAAACAACTTCAAACATTCAACTGCTACTCAGTAGTATGTATCTAATACCTAATATATATATATCATTCCAATAACTTGTATATAGACTCATACTGCACTATTCCACATCATAACTTTATTTCATTTTTATAACTATTATTATTTTTGTATTGCTCATGCTCTTATTGTTATTATGTTATGTTATTATGTTGCATTGTTGGAGAAGCCTGTGACATAAGATTTTCAACTGCATAATTACTCTGTAGCTATGTCAGATTGACAATAAAGAACCTTGAACCTTGAACCTTGAATTACTACGCGGCGGCGGTGTATAGCCGAATCACAGCCCCACCCTCACTCATGTCACATTTTGTCACGTGAGCAGAAAGATGGATGGTGCCGGTAGCCAAACGCCCAGCGGGGCTAAGAAAAGAAAGAAAAAGAAGAGAGAGTGGCGGCTGCATTAAAAAATGTGCCAACAATAAATAGCTTTTTCAAAAAAGCAAAAAGTGACGAAATAGGCCAGCAACAACCACAAGGAACAGTGGCGGCGGTCACGGAGGATGTTGTTGAGCTAGCGAGCAATGTTAGCCTTGAACCTAGCATGCTAACGCAGCGGGTAGAAGAGGAGGAAAAAGATGAAGACGAGCCTGACGAGGACGTCACAGAGCAGGGTGAAGGTTCGAGTTCATCGGAAGTTCCCTGTGTCTCTCAGGACCCTGCACAATGGGGATTCATTGCTGGAAATGTCCGGGAGGAGACTTTGATGAAAGGGGTTTCATACTTTAAATCGGGCAACGAAGTATCCAGCATCTCGGAGGGAGACCGATGCTAGCGGCCGGACACGCTCACTGACCAACGATATGCTGACCAGACAGCTTCACAATGGAGAAATCGTTCAACGCGATTGGATTATTTATTCTCCATCTACCGGAGCTATTTATTGTTTTGCCTGCAAACTTTTATCCACTCACAGCCACAGCAATGCATTTGTTCTCGGCTTTAGTGATTGGAAGCATCCCGAGAGGATAACGGAACATGAGACGAGTGGTGAGCACAGAAAATGCATACTTTCACTTATGCATCGCACTAAACTCATGGGCACTGTGGATGCTTCTCTCGGGATGCAGGTCGACACAGAAAGTCAGTACTGGAAGGATGTATTGAGACGTGTAGTTGTGGTGATTAAATTCTTGAGTGAGAGGGGGCTTCCTTTCCGGGAAATGACAAACTTTTAGGATCCGCACATAACGGGAACTACCTGGGAATCCTGGAGCTGCTCGCGCAGTTTGATCCATTTTTAAAGGATCATTTGCAGAAGTTTGGCCAGAAGGGACGTGGTAGGACTTCATACTTGTCATCAACTATCTGTGAGGAGTTTATTGGTTTGGTGGGTGACAGAACAAAGGAAGCAATAGCAACAGAACTACAGCGAGCAAGGTATTTCTCTGTCATCGTAGATTCTACACCTGACATGTCTCACGTCGACCAATTAACTTTTGTTTTCCGATTTGTGAGTGAGAAAGGAAAAGTTATTGAGAGATTTATTGGATTTGAACCCATTCACAGTCACACTGGGTCAAGTCTGGCTGACTGTGTGATGAAGATGGTCATTGATATGGGGCTGGATCTCTCAAACTGCCGTGGCCAGGCTTATGACAACGCATCCAACATGTCAGGAAAATATAATGGGCTGCAAGCTCATCTCAAGAAAAGCAACCCACTCATACATTCAACCCGGTATCACGGCGAGACGTGAACATGTGACGATCTACCATGCTGGGAGACGTGAATATGTCACGGTTTCGTCCCTTCAAACGTGACAGTTACACGGTATTGTTAACATGGCCCAACCAGTGGAGAAATACCCGGAAGTGCCAAGCAAATGGTCTACCGCGCTTATTGGTCGGTTTTTATTGTCAAAATGAGATGTTTTTAATTTATTTTTTAATCGTCACACTCGATTTCGCCGATTTTCTTGTTGCCCTAGCTGGTCGACACCTCTTTTAGCAGAAACAAAGGCTATTAATGTATTAAATCGATGTTAATCCATGTGTGTGGATCATAGACTGGTGTAGATGTGGAATTAACGGACGTGACGTTGTGCGATTGCGTTGCCAGGCAACGCAATTTACAAACTCTTCAACTACAACCCTAATTATATTTAAAAACATTTTAGAAGGCCTCATGAAATACTTTAATGTAAATTAAAATGTAAATGTGAAGGGATGTGTGTAATGTGGTGATTGACATTATTCACCCACGGATCTATGGGTTGGGGGTATTGTTCCGCACGGACATTTTAGTTAACCGGACTTCCTGTTGATGTGAAATCCGAAAAAATTAATAAAAATAAAATACTTTATTTCGAGTTTGCTTGCTTTTCTCTTTGGAGGTCATCACATAACGGCATTGTAATACACGGTTCGGCTGCATTAAATATTACATATCTGCCGTAGTTCTGTATTTAAAGAGCCCTGATGAGAAGACTTCTGGACAAACAGGAACTGCCGCCAAAACTGAAAACGTGACGTGGATCATAAATATATCAGCAATTAAACAACATCTTACATTTCTTTTCACACAATACGTCTCCTTGCAGTATCAACACTAATTCGGCTGACTTTTATATTTGATCCAATTGGTAGATAGGTTATATTTACACCATAACGGTGCACAGCTGATATAAAAGGACTTGTCGTTTTTATCTGCCGTAGTTAACTCTATTTATAGAGCCCTGATGACAAGACTTCAAGACAAACAGGAACTGCCGCCAAAACTGAAAACTTGACAGAGGGCTTAAAGAGCCGCGGGTTGCCGACCCCTGCACTAGTCGCACAGAAGTGGACGACAGTACGAAATGGATGAAAAATGCGTCTCAGTGTTACATTATTTATTTATTACACAACCCAGTTCATTTACTGTTGGTTGGTTTAATTTACTGTAAACAAAGCATCTTAAACAGACATTTACCAATAATCAATCTCTACGAATTACACATTGAAAAAGTGAAATTAACCGGATTGGAAAACAATTCTAATAAACAAGGCGTCAACAAATATCTACAAAACTCAAAATAGACGTTTTTTTTTCCAGTGTTTTTTAAGCTGCAATACAGGAACATTCACTCGTTCATTATAAAAAACTATTACAAAATGATTCAAAAAGAGGCACTATCGTCTGAGTAACGGTATAAAACATTTCAAGTTCACAGGAAATTGCAAGAAATCGAATGAAAAACAGTGTAGTGCAATGTTTTCTCTACATGTACTGTAATCAAATACAAACAAGATCTCGGATACTTTAAAAAAAAAAGACAGAAAATCAACCGTTAAAGAATATTTGTTCGAAGGTCCTTCGGGATTATTTTTGATTGAGCGTTCGTTGTTATTTTCTCGTTTTAGTGCATGCATTGAGGAGAATCTATTTAATGTTTTAATGCAAATGTTGTCTTTAGTCTTGGAGAGAAAATAGGGATTGCACACACTCAAAAAATAGCAATACATTATCAAATGTAATTAATTTAGGGCTCAGAATATTGGCCGCTCTGACCCTGACTGTTTGAATACAATAATTATTCATGTTTTCTTCCAGATAAGTTTTAATTTGCACAATTATTTTTAACAAATACGGTGCAAGTTTTATTTACGTAACATTACTTTGGTTTGAATAACAAATACTTTATCGTGACAAAAAGAAGAAATTCCCCCAAAAAACTCCAAATGTTTCTTCAGAAAGCCTTGACTTTTTCTGAATGGATTTTGTTTCGTTTGGCTTTGACCTCGCTGCAGCATTTTACAGAGCACACATTACATGCACGATGCAAAGCAAAGGCGACAGAAACAAGAAATAAATTAGAAGCAAAACTGATAGACTGCTCTTGATCTTCAGAGCATATCGGGTCTGGAATTAATCTGCAGAGCTCCCAGAAAGCATCAGAGAGCATCAGAGAGCATCAAAGGGCATCAGAGAGCATCAGAGAGCATCAGAAAGCATCAGAGAGCATCAGAAAGCATCAGAGAGCGTCAGAGAGCATCAGAGAGCATCAGAGAGCGTCAGAGAGCGTCAGAGAGCGTCAGAGAGCATCAGAAAGCGTCAGAGAGCGTCAGAGAGCATCAGAAAGCATCAGAGAGCATCATAGAGCATCAGAAAGCATCAGAGAGCATCAGAGAGCGTCAGAGAGCATCAGAGAGCATCAGAGAGCATCAGAGAGCATCAGAAAGCGTCAGAAAGCATCAGAGAGCATCAGAGAGCGTCAGAGAGCATCAGAAAGCATCAGAGAGCATCAGAGAGCATCAGAGAGCATCAGAGAGCGTCAGAGAGCATCAGAGAGCATCAGAGAGCATCAGAGAGGATCAAAGAGCGTCAGAAAGCATCAGAGAGCATCAGAGAGCATCAGAAAGCATCAGAGAGCATCAGAAAACATCAGAAAGAATCAGTAAGAATCAAACTAAACCCTTGTTAACATGTGAACCTCATTCCTGTCATTATCCAAACATTGAAAGAAGCTAGGAGCTGAATGTAGTTCCTTAAACGCTCGAACATCAGACAGACTTTATCCTGCCAGCTCCTAAATAATGTCCAGCTGAGCAGAGGATTCAGTCATCGAGTTGGCGTGATAGTTAGCGTACTAAGGTGATGAAACGTTGGGGAAGAGGACATGACGGATGTAAAATCTTCTTACGGGGACAAATCAATAACCTGAACCTGAGACAGAAGGTCCTGAGGATCCTGGTTCTTCCATTTAAGGCCAACTCAAACGTTCAGTAGCTGTGAGGAACAAACGTCATGTCCTTGTGATGGAAATTATGATTATCAGACAATTGAAAGCTATGATGTTATATTTAACATATAAATAATACAATTCTGTAAGCCTTACATGTCGAGAGACAGTAGATCTCAGCACTCAGGAAGATGATCAGTCACAAGGTGTCATGTGACCACACAGTGACCTGATCATGGGTCTATTGATAGGGTCAGGGGTCAGTTATCTCATGACTAAGCATGTCTTCATTGTAACTGTATGTAAGCTCTCTCTTCAGTTTGAGTAGTTGCACTCGGCTGTGGAGACATGGCTCTTCATGTTGTTTGCCTCTTTTGCAGAAGATTAAAGAACCAGAAAGACATCTCTTTGACTAGTTCATTTCAAGAATCTCCACCACATCCTCTTCCCCAACGTTTTATCACCTTGCAGACTGTACCTTTGCTAATATATAACTGGAAGAACCAGGACCTTCTGTCTCAGGTTCAGGTCATTCATTTGTCCCCGTAGGTAGATTTGGTTTGCAGTTTAAAGACTAAGGATCCATCCTGACACACGGCACAGACGACAGGCAGAACCTCGGTCTCTTTGAAAACCGTTAGAACAAACATTTCTGTGAGAAATCCCCAAAACTCTACAATGAAGACGATTGGAAACTACGTCACACTCTGCCTCAAACACAAGATCCACAGGAAGAGAGAAGGTTCACGACGTGATATAAGGACACTCAGTGGATGGTTTGGATATCGACGTGAGAAACAGTTTGTTTACAGCCTGTTTGACTGCAGGAAGCTCTTTGTTTTGGGATAACCGTCAGAGGGTTAAAAGTAGTGACGAGTCAGCAGGAAAACACGATGCAAAACAGTCTCAAAATCACGAGACGTCCTCCATGTGCAGTCAAAAAGGATTTGTCCAGAAGATTGAGAGATGATCTGCACATTATCTCCAAAAGTAAATATGTATTCAAATTTCTTCAGTACTTTGTGTCTCTGGATAGTTAACGGTTATTTCACACGTTCGTCTCGTACTCCACCAGCAGAGTCTGAGCCTCCGGAGATTCTCTGTCCTCCGACTCCTTCTGAGGCGCCGAGAGCTGCAAGGATGAAAGGAAACATTTAATACAATTGGAAAATGAATCACTACAAGGCTCTTAAAGACGAAAGGCAGAAAGATAATCAGAAAAAAATTGAAAAATATGTAACACTGAGCTAAATAAACTTTACGTCAATAAACTGAATAAAAAAAAAACTGTCTGAAAATGCACGTGTTTCACTATTAAACAAAAAAAATATTATTCAAAGTAGTGTTGTCACGATACCAACATTTTGGTTTCGATACCGATACCAAGTCAAGAATTGCGATTCCGATTATTTTTCGATACTTTTCTTTTATTATTTTCATGATCAATAAAATTGTAGTTTATCTGTTAAGTGTTTTCTTACAACATGGTCTCTTCTTTATACTTGAGTTTATGTGATTTCTCTGATAGTTAACTTTATATTTTACTCCATTACATTCATTTGTGTATTCCTGGCAATAAATATGTTTTCTTATCAACACCGTCTCTCCTGATTTAACCTCTGTAGTCCCAACCGCCTTTATTTATTGAATAACATTATATTTGATTGGAAGGAATAAAATAAAGACTCTTTATAGATAATCAGGAAAAACTGAAAAAATATGTACGTTTGTTTAATAAAGTACAAGAACACTGAGGAAATTAAACCTTAAATAAATCAACTAAATAAATTAAAACTGTCTGAAAATTCACGTTTTTTCCAAGTTAACTTAGAGTTTAAGAATTTTTTTGTTTAAACATTATTTAAGAACAACCTTTGCAGTCTCAACCGCCTTCATTGATAAAATAATATGGTGAGTGTGATTGTCCTTCATAACAAATATCAAATAATTGATAATAAATATAAACAAATATAAGATAAATACAAAAATAAAACAGGTTGCAGAACTTACGTACACATTTAATTTCTAACAAGACCTTTTGATTTTAAATTAGTTGCACCAAAATGTAAAACTGGTTTGATTATTTTCAACAAATCACACAATTTCTTGACTTCCAGCTGCTTTTGGAGAAGAAACACTTTAAAAATCAAACTGTGAGTTGATCTGTGATTTCCCCCGACCTCTATAGAGAGGCGAAGTCCCTCCCTTTCCGGTGGAGCTCCATGGGACCTTATTTCGGAAAAAGTTTGTATTGTTTGTATTGTCAATGGGGAGAGAAAGGTTATCTTTGGATCCCGTTTGAATTGTGCCATGAATTACACATATGATGTTTGTCAACCTTAAAAAATAATTTCCATGTCAAAAAAGTCACAGTTTGTCGTAAAACTGTTGAAATATAAGACTATGAAAAATACGCAACTAGAAAGACTACAAATCCCAGAATCCCGGTCCCGCATGCTGGCTCTTAGGAACCGACTAACTCCCCTTGTGTGTATGTACAGCTCTCAACATGCCCAGACTTGGAGTGATTTTCACCTCTTTTAATACTTTCCGCCTCATTCTGAAAGAAAGAAGTGAAATGTGCCAACGTGACGGCCGTCTGGGTGTGTGGTGCGAGACGGGAGATGTAGTTCATTGAGCGGTTTCACACAAACAAAGTGTTACTTCACAGTTTTACGACACATTTGTATTTTTTTAACTTGCAAAATTATCTTTTAAATTGACAAACATCATGTGTGTAATTCGTGGCTCAATTCAAACGGGATCCAAAGATAATCTTTCTCTCTCCATTGACTTCAATACATACGTTTTCTGAAATAAGGTCCCATGGAGCTCCCCGGAAAGGGAGGGACTTCGCCTCTCTGTTAAAGTATCCTGCTCACCCTTTATTACATTTTGAATGAATCTTTATTTACCGAGTGTCCGAGCGGCGTGACGCAGCAGAGTTTCTTCTTCAGACGTTCAGGAAGGAAACACAACAGCTTCCCTAAACACGGATAAACGGTTCCTGGAGTCACGTCCTCCTCCTTCAGAGGGCCTGCATGCAAAGCACACATTTATCATTTAACATTTCATATAAGACAAGATAATACTGCATTGGTCCCAGAGCAGGGACGTGTGCAAAGTTACAGAAGCAACAACCAGAGAGAGGTACAAATACATAATAAAGTACACATTATCAAGACAGCGTGGACAGAATTAACACATTCAAATGATTGCACATAATATTCATAATGCACATAAAACATGTTTTTCACATATGTTGTTGCACATATGTATGTAATATGTATCTGCATCCACATTCCATATCCCGCTTTACAAGGTGTGAGGACAGACAAGGTGTGAGGACAGACAAGGTGTGAGGACAGACAAGGTGTGAGGACAGACAAGGTGTGAGGACAGACAAGGACAGACAAGGTGCGAGGACAGACAAGGTGCGAGGACAGACAAGGTGTGAGGACAGACAAGGTGTGAGGACAGACAAGGTGTGAGGACAGACAAGGACAGACAAGGTGTAAGGACAGACAAGGACAGACAAGGTGTGAGGACAGACAAGGTGTGAGGACAGACAAGGTGTGAGGACAGACAAGGACAGACAAGGTGCGAGGACAGACAAGGTGTGAGGACAGACAAGGTGCGAGGACAGACAAGGTGTGAGGACAGACAAGGACAGACAAGGTGTAAGGACAGACAAGGACAGACAAGGTCTGAGGACAGACAAGGTGTGAGGACAGACAAGGTGTGAGGACAGACAAGGACAGACAAGGTGCGAGGACAGACAAGGTGCGAGGACAGACAAGGTGCGAGGACAGACAAGGTGCGAGGACAGACAAGGTGCGAGGACAGACAAGGTGTGAGGACAGACAAGGACAGACAAGGTGCGAGGACAGACAAGGTGTGAGGACAGACAAGGACAGACAAGGTGCGAGGACAGACAAGGACAGACAAGGTGCGAGGACAGACAAGGTGTGAGGACAGACAAGGTGCGAGGACAGACAAGGTGCGAGGACAGACAAGGTGCGAGGACAGACAAGGTGTGAGGACAGACAAGGTGGTGAGGACAGACAAGGACAGGACAGACAAGGTGCGAGGAACAGGGACAGAAGGTGTGAGGACAGACAAGGACAGACAAGGTCGCGAGGACAGACAAGGACAGACAGGTGCGAGGACAGACAAGGTGTGAGGACAAGGTGCAGACAAGGTGACGAGGACAGACAAGGTTGCGAGGACAGACAAGGTGCGAGGACAGACAAGGTGTGAGGACAGACAAGGTGTGAGGACAGACAAGGTGTGAGGACAGACAAGGACAGACAAGGTGTGAGGACAGACAAGGTGCGAGGACAGACAAGGTGTGAGGACAGACAAGGTGCGAGGACAGACAAGGTGCGAGGACAGACAAGGTGCGAGGACAGACAAGGTGCGAGGACAGACAAGGTGTGAGGACAGACAAGGTGTGAGGACAGACAAGGTGTGAGGACAGACAAGGTGTGAGGACAGACAAGGTGCGAGGACAGACAAGGTGCGAGGACAGACATGGTGCGAGGACAGACAAGGTGCGAGGACAGACAAGGTGCGAGGACAGACAAGGTGCGAGATGCGAGGACAGACAAGGTGCGAGGACAGACAAGGTGCGAGGACAGACAAGGTGTGAGGACAGACAAGGTGTGAGGACAGACAAGGTGTGAGGACAGACAAGGTGCGAGGACAGACAAGGTGCGAGGACAGACAAGGTGCGAGGACAGACAAGGTGCGAGGACAGACAAGGTGCGAGGACAGACAAGGTGTGAGGACAGACAAGGACAGACAAGGTGCGAGGACAGACAAGGTGTGAGGACGAAGGTGTGAGGACAGACAAGGTGTGAGGACAGACAAGGTGTGAGGACAGACAAGGTGCGAGGACAGACAAGGTGCGAGGACAGACAAGGTGCGAGGACAGACAAACAACAAACAAACAAGGTGGGCAGATAAAAAAAAGTGTGTGTTTGATATATTCTGACCTGAGAGGAAGCTGATGAAGAGTCCGACGAAGACGACAGTGAGGCAGCTGAAGGCGCTGTACCACATGTACGACAACGAGTAAAACCTCTGCAGTCCAGAGGGGCGGCTGCAAACAGAGAGGACACATGTTCAAAATAATAATAACTTTAATTGATAAAGCGCCTTTCATTAACCCAAGGTCGCTTAACAAGAAACATTTAAGGACAAGACGTAAAACAGGGGGCAGAAATGGTGTTACATTGCAGGGGGGGGGGGGGAGTTAATGTTGAACAGATGAGTTTTCAGGGTTGATGTGAAGATGTTCAGAGAAGGGGCGTTACGGCAGCAGGGAGGGAGTTCCAGAGGGGGGGGGGGGGGGCAGCGACACTGAAGGCACGGCCCCCGAAGGTGCGGAGGCGTGAATGGGGAATGGAGAGCAGGCCGGAGTCTGAGGATGGAAGGGTGCGGGACGGGGGGTGGAGGAGATCTGTGAGGTACTGAGGGGAGAGGGCACGGAGGGACTTGGAGGTGACGAGGAGGAGTTTGTAGGTGATGAGGGACTTGACCGGGAGCCAGTGGAGGTTGGAGAGAGAGTGGGGGTGATGTGCTGCCAGGGCTTGGTGCGTGTGAGGACCCTGGCAGCTGAGTTCTGGACGTACTGGAGCCTGTCCAGGGTTCTGCTGGGAACCCCGGACAGGAGACCGTTGCAGTAGTCCAGGCGGGAGGTAATGCACATATGAAGCTGCACATAAAAAACGTTTTGCACATATGTTGTTGCACATATTATCCACATTGCACACATGATATTGCACAAAATATTCAAATTGCACGTGAAATAGCACATGTGACATTGACACCTGTTTAATAAAGGGGACATATTTCACAGTTCTGCATTAACATGTGGAGAACAACTGGACTGATGCTATGTTCAGGTGAGTTGAGATCATGCGTCACGTTTTCCCTTTAAATGTTTTACATCTTGGTGCTTTTTGAGTTATTTTCAGCTTTTAAAATATGTGTATTTGTTAGATTATAATCCTTAAACTCAATTTAATTGTTTCAATAGTTACTTTATCACTTTATTTTTGCTGTTTTATTATTTTAATTTGTAAACGCCTGAATTTCCTCAAGGGGATAAATAAAGTTCCTTATCTTATCTTATCCTAAAAGATTAAAAAACTAAGCAAAAAACCCATAAATGACCGTTTCCATTACAGAGATGTTTAAGTTGCTCTTGATTGAAATGGAAATAACTTCCATAGTTGATTATAATTGAACAAATAAATGATATTAAAATGGATTAAAAGTCATATGTACAACAACACTGAAGCTGCTGAAGACTACAACTCCCATGATGCATCGTTGCTGCACCACCACACTAACAGAAGCGCTGTTACCTCACAGTGATGTTCCACAGCGCCCCCTGCAGGTTAAACGTTGTGTTTGCAGCTCTGCAGCTCGGAGGCAGCGGCTTTGCTCCAGAGACTCGGGTCACGATGCTGCCGACGCCGATCCAGCACACCAGAACCAGAGCTGACCCCAGACCAGCCAGCGCCCCCTGGAACACAGGAGAACCAGACTTAAAGAGTTCTGCTCTCTGGTGAGGCAAGTTTATTCATACAGCACTTTCAACACAAGGCAATTCAGAGTGCTTTACCGAAAGGAAAGACATTCAGAGCATTAAAAAGCAAAGATAATGAAACATGAACAACTGTTACAGTGCAGAGTGAGATGTGAACAGTTTGATTCAAGAAGAAAAGTCTTCAGCCTGGATTTAAAAGTAGTCAGAGTTATATCCCCTAACCAAAGTCTCACATTCCTCTACCCCTAGTGTTGCTGTGAAATTATACACACACACACACACACACACACACACACACACACACACACACACACACACACACACACACACACACACACACACACACACACACACACACACCACACACACACACTACACACACACACACACACACACACAACACACACACACACACACACACACACACACACACACACACACACACACACACACACACACACACACACTTTGGTCTGGTGAAATATTGAACTTTAAACTCAGCACATCCCTAACAAAACGAAACAGGTGTAAAGTAAAACATGTTTTCTACCTATAGCCCACTAATACCCTGTGAAGTGCTTTATTTAAAATATATATGTTTATGTTTAAAAAACTCACATTTATGATTAAATTATTGAGAAAATACTCATCACCATGTTTATAGGTTTTTTTAAATTGTATTGCATCTTAGCAGGAAAGGCGCTTCATTAATAATTAAATATTCAAGTTAATTAATCAATTAATAAATAATAAAAAAGATAAATCAATTAATTAATAAATAATAAATTAAATTAATTTATAAATAAATAGAAAAAAAGAGAAATAATTAAATAATCAAGATAAGTAAAAAATGTATAAATAAATAATTAAAAATATGAATAAATAAAGAGATCAAATGATACATTCATAAATAAAAGAGAATTAAAATAAATAAATAATTGAATTGATTTAAAATAAATAAATACAATTCAATTTAAACAGATATTTAAGTAACCTAAATAGATGATTAGATAAATAAATAAGTCTCAGTGTGTCTCACGGTGGAGTTGGCCCAGGGGAAGAACATCCCGAGACAAAACAGACCCAGAACCGGACCTCCAACCATCCCGAAGATCTTCATAGCCACCTGCAGGTCGGACAGAAAGACGTGTAAACAAACAAATCAACAAAGTAAACATTCAGTTATCTATTATTGTGTTTACCTGCAGCACTGAGTCTCCCATCAGGTGAGTGAGGAAGGCCATGGCGAGACACAGCAGCCCGTAGAACAACGCTGAGAAGAGAGAGAGGGGTTCACTTTCATATTTATTCCAGATGTTTCAAAATAACTTGATTCTCCATTAACCTTAGACGAGATCACCCTCGCTATAAATAACAAGCAAAATAAAAAAGCTCCTGGCCCTGATGGATTCCCAGTCGAATGTTTTTGGAGATTTAAATCTAAATTGGCCCCATTAAGGAATCTCTGCAGAAGGGGTCTCTTCCTCCCACTTTCAGACAAGCCTCCATAAGTCTGCTTTTATCTCTGCAGCTCTTATAGGCCACTTTCCTTAAAGGTCACCTATCAAGCTATTTTTAGGCAATAGCATAGGTCTCAGATATATACAAATATATAAAAAACATGTCTATGAAGTGTTTTGCTCCAAATACCAAACAGATCACCCATTCTAGCCATGCCTCATATCCCTCTATTTCACTTCCTGTTTCTAAAGTGCTGATTTGAGGTATAAAGCTTTAAAAAATAAAAGAGGAGGGGGCTGAGCTCATGAGGGACCCGGCAGCTACTGTCTAAACTAAATGCTGCCGTGATGAAACGCCATATCATGGATTATCAAGGATTCTCTCTGAAACAGTATGGAGCTCAAAGGCTTTCTCTCTTGCCGGTTATACCACAAGGTGAGTTCCTTTTTATTTCCTGCTTCTTCACACACATGCTCTCCAGTACAGGTTAGCTCTGAGTGTTAGCGATGCTAATGTCAACACCGACCATATTACGTCCAAAACAGTCGGGCATTGTTTCTGATAGCAACGTTTCTGATAGGGCCGTGGGTCCACATTTCAGATATTACGTCATATCGGACGCTAATCTGGATCAGCTCCGTTGTTCCCCCGTTTTTAGAGATTTGGGTACGGAGGAAAAGAGAGAGGGTTTTATTTTCTGACGCTGCGTGAGTTCCCTGACACACCGGGGACAGATGTTGATGAAGAGAAGACATCAAAAAGTGCATTTTGCATGATAGGAGACCTTTAAAAAAGGTGGATGCGAAAATACTTGCTTAGGCTTTGGCACGCCGCTTGGAAAATATTCTCCCAACCATAGTTTCGGAGGAACAAACTGGATTTATAAAAGGGACGTCAACTATTTTACAACGTTCACACCCTTTTAAACATTATTTACTACAAAAATACCACTACGACCCCTGAGGTAGTGATCTCACGTGATGCTGAGAAAGCGTTCGATAGGGTTGAGTGGGATTATTTACTTACTGTACATTTTGGTGTGTATGTGTATGTGTATGTGTGTGTGTGTGTGTGTGTGTGTGTGTGTGTGTGTGTGAGACACAGGCAACACCACAGAGAGAAGTGTGAAGGTTTCTATAATGTGTTATATAATTATCACACCTCATTATAGACACTAGAATCCTACGGGATCGCTTAAACGGATTTAGTGCGTCGTCTGCATTTAAAACAGCAGTTAATTGCTTCTGATATGTCAATTAGTGTGTGTGTGTGTGTGTGTGTGTGTGTGTGTGATATATATACTTTAATATTTATATTTCAAGATTCATGATACATGATAGGCCTATGGAAAACATCTGAAGAAGGCCATGGCCAGACACAGCAGCCCGTAGAACAACGCTGAGAAGAGATAACTTTAATATTTAGATTTCAAGATTCACGATACATTTGATTTGATTAGATTTATTTCGAATGTGTAAAACAATATTGCTTACTGCACATATTTTATATTCTTTAATGTATTGCATTCTATTTCAATGTAAATGACTGCTTTGTTTTATTGCTATCTTAATATAGTTCGCTATCCGTGTTATTTTTTACATTTTTGTTCTACTTTTATGTATGCACCACGACATCAAGTCAAATTCTTCGTACGTGTCAAAAAACCTGGAAAAAAACCTGTTTCTGATTCTGAATAAAACAAAATCTAAATTCTTTCTTGGTCAGTTATAAAAAAACATGTATAAAATGTTAAATATTATAAAAATTAAAACGGAAATGCTAGACATTTTCATCTCAAATAAATTGTAAAATATGCCATAAAGCTTTGAGTGTGTGTCTGAGAGTGACTAGGCTTGTTTGAGACGAGCTGCGGCTCGCCTCGAAAGTAGACGAGAATAGCTGATCGCAGCCGGGGGAGGTCTCAAAAAGCTCGCCTGAAGTCGGACAGCTCGGAGTCGGCTTCTTCTTCTTCTTCTCTCGGTTTTTTGGCGGATTTCAAACAACTTTAAGGTGCATACCGCCACCTCCGGAGTCGGCTTGACTCGGTTTGCATTTATAAATGCACACGGCATCTATTGCACGTCTGTCCGTCCTGGGAGAGGGATCCCTCCTCTGTTGCTCTCCCTGAGGTTTCTCCCGTTTCCCCTTTAAACTGTGGGTTTTTCTCTGGAAGTGTTTCCTTGTATGATGTGAAACGTAAGGACAGAGGGTGTCGTATTGTCATACTGATATTCTGTACAAACTGTGAAGTCCACTGAGACAAATGTAACATTTGTGATATTGGGTTATATAAATAAACATTGATTGATTGATAAAGAATGGACAAATGTGTTTAATCGTTAATGTCAGATATGTACTAAGTAAATACATTTGTTCCTGCTCAAGATTAGATTCAACTTTATTGTTATTGCACAGATTACAGGTACTGAGACAACGAAATGCAGTTTAGCTTCTAACCAGGAGTGCATAAAGCAGTAAAGTGAAAAGTAATGTACACAATCTACAGAATAAAATATAGAATGAATTGAATGATGAATAAACAGTGAGGGGTATGAATACACTATATACAGTCGCCTAGCCTAGTATGAACAGTGTGTTGTATGAATGCTAAGATATATAAAGTATGAAAACGGTAAGCAGTGCAAGTATAGTATAAAATATATAGATATTAATTTAATGATGATAAACATTGTGGAACAATGATGAAAAATGTGAATGGAAGTGACGTAAAACTGACACAAAAAACAACAACACACTTTAGCCGAGCCAATGGAGAGTTTCATCTCCAGCACGGGGTAAAACCCACCAATGAGCGCTCAGCTCCAGATACCAGCGAGTCGTTTCCCATCAAGCATTTCGCTTCCGCAGCCCGGGGAGAGAAACTGCGCCGCCTCGCCGTGTCTCGCTCTCAAGTCTGCGGGCGTCTTTGTCCCGCGAGATTTCAACGTCTTATGTAGGCGAGCCTCCTGAGCAAGTCGGACAAAATGGCTAACCATCATGCAACGCACTAGCAAGACGTTGATCGCAATTGCGCAGGTCTGCGCAGGTCTCGCTTGTCTCAAACAAGCCTAGTGTGTGTGTCTGTCTGTCTGTCTGTCTGTCTGTCTGTCTGTCTGTCTGTCTGTCTGTCTGTCTGTCTGTCTGTCTGTCTGTCTGTGTGTGTGTGAATGAGTGTGTAAGTGTAGGTGTGTGTGTGTGTGTGTGAGAGAGCGAAAAAAATCACTCAGACAGACACACTGTCTGTCTGAGTGATTTTTTTCGGCTGTGTACTTTCAGATTCTAGCGCACTCGAGCTGCTTTCTCCATTCTTACCTACCCCACCTTTAAGTATATATTCTTTGTGACTCGAGCCATCTTATTCATTCCTTAGTTATTGCATCGACACTTATTGTAACATCTGGTGGGGGGGAGGTTTTAATGTCATATGCACATGAGCTAAAGTGTAGAAAATGGCAATGAAATTCTTCTGACCTGAGCTCCTCCAACAATGCAACATATAGAATAAAATACAAAAAATAAAAATAGTGCAAGAAGTCTATATACATGTAAATAAAAAATGAAATGAAATAATGTACATTAAGACAAAATTAAATACGGTTTATTGCGGTGATTACTATTTATATAAATAAGTAGATAGCAAGATGAATGTTCTGGATGCTCTTCACAGAGTTCAGGTGTTTAGCAGTCTGATGGCCTGTGGGATCAAACTGTCCCTGAGTCTGGGGGTTTTATTATTATTTATGTTTTGATATGTATTATTGACAGCTCACCTAAGCCTTTGGACAGCAGCGTGGCTCTGGCCTCCGTCATGGCGGGGAATCGAGGTTTGATCAGATCCTCCATCGTCACCGTGGCCAACGAGTTGAAGGAGGACGAGATGGAGCTGAACAAAGAAATCAATATTATATCTAGAGATGAAATATCAACTAATCTGCAGGTGGATTTTAAAACATCTGAGAGTGGGAGTGTGTGTGTGTGTGTGTGTGTGTGTGTGTGTGTGTGTGTGTGTATGTGTGTGTGTGTGTGTGTGTGTGTAAAGGGGTTAGTGTTATCAATTAATCAGCAGTTTGATTTTTAAAACATCTGAGAGTGTGTGTGTGTGAGTGTGAGTGTGAGTGTGAGTGTGAGTGTGAGTGTGAGTGTGAGTGTGAGTGTGAGTGTGTGTGTGTGTGTGTGTGTGTGTGTGTGTGTGTGTGTGTGTGTGTGTGTGAGAGAGTGTGTGTGTGTATGTGTGTGTGTGTGTGTGTGTGTGTGTACCTGAGTGCAGCGCTGAACAAACAGGCCACAAACAGACCAGGGAGTCCCGGCAGCCCCTCCAACATGTCCATCACAAAGTACATCACCATCTGAGGACACACACATTTAGTTGGTTTGTTTACAAATACAAAATCCTAATTGTATAAATGTAAACAAATATATATTTCTATTTTTGTTTTTACAAAAAGTGTATCGATCTTTTTTTTCTATCTTTAATGTATTATTCTTTATTGTTGTTTTATGATATGACTTTTCTTTCTGTTTACATACATCCCCTACATTTATTGCATTACATTTGGTTTGAAAATAAGACAAATTAAATGATTTATTTGACCATTTGTTAGAAATCACAATTATTGATGAAAATAAAACGGAACTTACAGCGTTCCTGATGGAGGTGTGATACAGGTGTGATACAGGTGTAATAAATGTGTGATACAGGTGTAATACAGGTGTAATACAGGTGTGATACAGGTGTAATACATGTGTACTACAGGTGTAATACATGTGTACTACAGGTGTAATACATGTGTACTACAGGTGTAATACATGTGTAATACAGGTGTAATACATGTGTAATACAGGTGTAATACATGTGTAATACAGGTGTAATACAGGTGTAATACATGTGTAATACAGGTGTAATACATGTGTACTACATGTGTAATACAGGTGTAATACATGTGTACTACAGGTGTAATACATGTGTAATACATGTGTAATACAGGTGTAATACATGTGTACTACAGGTGTAATACATGTGTACTACAGGTGTAATACATGTGTAATACAGGTGTAATACATGTGTAATACATGTGTAATACATGTGTAATACATGTGTAATACATGTGTAATACAGGTGTAATACAGGTGTAATACATGTGTAATACATGTGTAATACAGGTGTAATACATGTGTACTACAGGTGTAATACATGTGTACTACATGTGTAATACATGTGTAATACAGGTGTAATACAGGTGTAATACATGTGTACTACAGGTGTAATACATGTGTAATACAGGTGTAATACAGGTGTAATACATGTGTAATACAGGTGTAATACATGTGTACTACAGGTGTAATAACTCACAGCGTCCCTGTTGGAGGAGCCCAGCGGGGGGGAATCCTCTCCGCAGTAACGAGCGAACATAACGAGGCCCATCAAACAGCTGAGAGCCAGAGAGAGCTGCAGGGCGGGGAACACCATGTACACAGACCTGTGGGGGGGGGGTATTAATATAGAGAGTGTGTGAGAGTGTGTGTGTGTGTGAGAGAGTGAGTGAGTGAGTGAGTGAGTGAGTGAGTGAGTGAGTGAGTGAGTGAGTGAGTGAGTGAGTGAGTGAGTGAGTGAGTGAGTGAGTGAGTGAGTGAGTGAGTGAGTGTGTGTGTGAGTGAGTGAGTGTGTGTGTGTGTGTGTGTGTGTACCTCACAGCCTCCTTCTCTGATTTGGCGCTCAGGTATCTCTGCACCTGGGACTGATTTGATCCGTAGAGCGAGAGCATCAGGAACACCCCCCCCCACCCCGAGGGTCCAGAAGGTGTGTCGCTCTGTGGGGTCCGGGTTCAGACTGAGAGGGAATACAATAACACATTAAATACTTAAATATGCATAAAATAAACCTTAATACCTCAGAAAACAACATTTATTCAAACAGATCTACTGTTGTTGAAAATGTTGTGTAATGTTGAATAAGATGCCGGCTGTGTTCACTTAAAGGTCTCCTTTCATGCTATTTGTAGGCATATATTATGGGGTGGGAGCTAATAGCTAATGCCTGCTCAGAATTCTATGAGAAACTCAGCTAAATGCTGCCGTGATGAAACTCCATATCATGTTCCAAACCACATCAAGGATTCTCTCACGTCTCATTGTTTCTTACAGCAATGTTTCTGATTGGCCCGTGGGTGTAAAGCCCGCCCACATTTTAGTAATGTCTTCATGACGCAGCAAATCTGGATCAGCTCCGTTGTTCCCCCGTTTTTAGAGATGTGGGTACGGAGGAAAAGAGAGAGGGGTTTATTTCCTGACACTTTGTGAGTCTCCTGACACACGGGGGACACACCGGACACACACGGGGGACACACCGGGAACACAAGCTGATGTAGAAGAGACATCACTTTGTGAGTCTCCTGACACACCGGGGACACACCGGGGACACATTGATGTAGAGAAGACATCAGAAAGTGACTTTTGCATGATAGGAGACATTTAAATAAAGAAGCTCTTGTGTTTCTGTGACTCACTCGATGCCAGCGATGCGGTTTCCCTCCCAGACTTTCCTCCCGACCTCCATCACCCCCCCGGTCTTCTGGACCCCGACCACGATGACGGCCAGCTGCCCGGCGAACATCACCGCCGTCTGGAAGACATCCGTCCAGATCACAGCCTTCAGACCCCCCTGTGGAGAGGAGAGGAAACGGGAGGATTGAACCGGAACTGGACGTGGACCAGCGTCTAAACCCGGGGAGCCTCCGGGTCGTCTACGGTCCGCGAGACCATTTGATACGGCCCTCGAGGTAGACCGCAAAAGAATTAAACAAGAGAGGGCCTGTTTTTCCTGGCCAAGGTCAGGTTCCTTGAACACAACACGAGCCTAACGTGTCATCACGTGGTATATGTCTCGTCTGACAGGAGTGCAGTTCTTACGGAGAGCACCAGAACGTCGCTCCGGCATTCAGATATAGCAGTACCCATAAGGAGCCGTACACATGCTGCAGTTTCTGCGTGGCTGTGTCTGTAGTTGTAAGCCCAGTGGCGATCTGTCATACTGATCAGTCAATAACGCCATCGAAAAGAATATGCTACATCACAGTACTAGTACTTCTGGGTCTTTGTGTGTCTGTGTCTGTCTGTGTGTGTGTGTGTGTGTGGCACGAGCGCATTTAGTTTGAGCGAGAGAGAGAGCGGTACCAGGTATTGTTGTTATTAGCATCTGGTTAGCTAGCTATGCTAACGAATATAAGGAGCTTTTTCTACAACCAGGTGGAAGAGAGCTCTCTGCTGACAGACTGAGAGGCTCAGCTCAGTGAGGAAGAGGCACACCTTTATATGGTCATTATAGTTTTTCATTATTCACTATAAAAAAGAAGAGAATAAAGTCAACCGGTATAAAATACTATATGACAGTAAAAAAAAGTTGTTATTAATAAACAAGAATACAGTTTGAAAGGAGAGTGATTTGTAAAATATCCATAAATAAAAATAAAATCTGCTTCCAGTTCTGTTTCATATGGGTGTTGAGAGATGTATCCATAGATCTCCTAATGTTGCTCTCAAAGTGCACCAGATTGATGCTTTCAACTTCAACAAGGAGCATGCCCCCCGGACCCCCCCTAGAGGAGGTGAGGACCCCCCCCCCCCACTTAAATCATGTCCACATGGATAGGAAACTCCATGTGCACACATCTTGTGTCCATATCTTTCTGTGTTGGTGGCCATGCCACACCGTGCACGTGCACGTGCACGTGCGCGAGAGATATCTGGATTAAGAGGTTGCTGTTTCTTTGCACAGAATGAAAGAAAGGAGAAATGAATGGGCTGTGACTTTAGTGTTTTTAAGCAGAGGTCAATCATTTGTACGGCCCTCGGAGGATGTTGTGAAAATGTAAATGTCCCTTGAGAGGAAAAAGGGTCCCCCCCCCCCTGCTCTGTCTGCTTCCAGCCTCTCTGATCTGCTCTCCCTTTTATTCAGATTACAAAGTGAATATATTTAGTTTTTTTGGACAAAACCTAATTTTATTATTAGCCCATTTATAAGACCTTTAATACTTGTATTAAATACATGCTATTATTTTATCTAAAAGGCCTATTTTTAGCAGCTTATTTTAAATACCTTTAATGCTATTTAAATATATTTTCATGAGCCGATTTAAAATAATCTTTACACCGTTAAAACACAAAGAGCTGATTTATACTTTGTATGCATTTTAAATATATATTTTATAAGTGATTTTTTAATATACATATATTAGTTATTTATAATAAAAAAGCTATTACTTACGATGGTTGTATAAATCATGCAAACGACTCCGATGGCCAGCACGGCGCCCCAAATCTCAAATCCAGTCACTGAGAGAAAACATGTATTTAATTAAAATCCTATAAATAAAAAAACTGAGTAAAATAACTGGGGGAAAAAATCACATGTTAGAGGTGGGGTCGGTAAGAATGGAGAAACCAGTGCTAGAATTTGAAAGTACACAACCGGAAACAATCTGCCCCTTCCTTCAGACTTCCTCACAGAGCCCCTCCTCCAACACACACGAACGCGCACATGACCAATGAGGGCACGAGATACGTTTGTGCACGAGATGGAAGGCTGACAGTAGAGCTGAACGATTAATCGATTTGAAATGATGCAATTATCAAATCGCAAAGCGAAGAACACATTTTTGTTGTTCTTCTTGTGTGTCAGTCATCCACACCAATCAGAAGTGCTGTGCTCCACATGTACCAGCCATTGTTAACCAATCAGAAGTGGCCCATGATAGAAGGTGATAGACAGATTGATCCAATCACCTGCCAAGTGTTTTTGAAAGTGCCTGCCCTTTTCCAAATGGCTTCCAGTGGAGCTTTCCTGATGGTTTCTGAGTCAGGTTAGTAATGCTCCATCACATGTTTCTATTACGCAGCGTCCACACGGCAGCGTCGCTTTGAAGCTTGCCGGTGGGCGTGTCTGAAACTCGACCAACAACCAATCACATGAATCCCGCGCCCCGGACACACAAGCACGCGGTTTGATTGGCTAGAGCTTGTACTGGCATATGATTTGATTGGCTGACGCTTCCGTCGAAACTTCAAAAGTAGAACATTGCTCAACTTTTGAAGCGAGCAACGGAGGAGGCAAAGTGAAGCGACGGAACCACAATGCAGTTCGGCAAAGCGTGACGTCACCCCATTCAAAGCCAATGGGCAGAAGCGTTGAAGCTTCAACGCACGCCGCCGTGTGGACGGGCCGTTACAGGGTGAATCTTAAACTGAAGCTTGACTTTAAAGCAACCCAACGGAGGTTTCATGTAAGTTTAGTTCTTTCACTCGTAGCTCGGGCTGCGGGGGTGCTAGAGACGGGAGCACGTTGATACGACCTTCCTAGCCGGAGATATGGCCGCATTTTACAATAAACTTCCGTTGGGTCGCTTAAAATCAAATATCGCAAATCTGGCCTAGCTGACAGGCAGGTAGGCCATCCAATCATCTGACCCGGGCCGAGGCAGATGATTGGTCGTGCTTTTTACAGTACTACGGCTTCCACAGATGATATTTATTTATGGATTTTTTGTCAAAGCACTTCAGATATTCATTGCTATCGGGATGTTAAGAGCATTCCATGGAATATAACAACAAGTGTATCTCGAGCCGGTTTCTCAAACTTACCTACCCCACCTTTAAGTACAATTATATAAATAAATACAAAATATTTGACTAAAACAAATGAAATATGTTCTGACCTGCGTTCAGTGCGAAGGCAGGAGTGTACACACACAGTCCCATGTACACAACCTGCAGAAACAGAGAGTATTGACTTGTAAACATGTAAATAAACATACTGTATACACTGAATGAACCACGTTTAGTTAATTATGTTAAATTATTAATGTTGGTTTTCTTCACTTTTGTTATTTCAACTTATTTTTATAAATATTTTTATTTTAAAAAACAATTAGTTTCTTTGTTTTATGTTGCTTTAAACAAAAATATTTCAATACTAATACATTATTTAATAAATAAGTGTGTTTTGGAGGATTGTAAAGTATTTTTTTATATATTATTTGTGTTGTTATTTCCCCCGTTGTTGATGTCATGTTGTTGTAAATAAAAAACAAATTAACAATTTTTTTTTTGTTTGGTTGATTGTTGTTGTTTACTTCAGACTCTGGTTGTTATAAAGTGTGTTTGTGCTGTTTATCATGTGAGGCCTTGAACTCACCGTCTGGAAGATGAAGGTCACAGTCCCACAGATTCTCACCGCCTTACTGAACCGCAGCTCCAGATACTGAGGAACAACAACAACAACAACGGTGAGTTCCTCCTCTCGGGATACATTGAATTCATGCACTGTCTCTTTGCTGCAATAATGTACATTTCACAGATGTGTGTCCAACTTTTTTTGCACAATATTGAGCAAGATTTGTGGTGTTAAAGATGAGGCAACACAAGTATAATATAATATAGTGACAGAAGAGAGTATCTGGGAATATTCACCTGAGACGAAGCCGATTCACCCTAACCTGGATATGTTTGAGTTACCCGGCTTACCCAATCCAAAACCCGCTCTCACTAAGTGATCCTACGACGCTGGTTATCAACTCGTTAACTCAAGCCAGCTTTGCCCTATCTAGTTAGGTGCGCGTTCACATAAAAGGGGCGGGGCTAGCAACATTTGACCAATCACAAACATGGAGAAGCGTACTGACAGCGCAGCGTCATACTTCCTGAATGAAAAGTGAACTTTAATATTAGTCAAATATGAAGACGTTAAACTTTAAACATCCATGTCTTAAACACTTTATCCAGGATCAAAGCCACATAGCTGCACCTGCAAGGTGAATACAGCTGGTAACAGAAAAAGTGTTTGAATGCGTACATTAACAGGTTTATGAAATCACTGCCCCGTCCAAGACACGAGTGGATCTGACTTTAATTACATTTGACTCGAGTGTTTCGTCAACTTAATGTGTTGCTTAAAATAATACTTCTGCATACAGTATGTGACACTGTGAGTGTTGCACGGCCAGATACGGCTCAGCTGACTCAGATAAGGAAATATATGATACATTATGATGTGATATGATATGAATGATAATGGGACACATCGACGTCTGCACTCACAGTGGACTGTACTTAATGTTACTCTGATCCGGTTACTTATGTTGTGGCAAATATTTAAGTAAGCTTTCTTAACGCTAATGTTATAATAGTCAGATTGCTCTGAAGATGGGAGGGGATATTCTATTAATGTTCACGTTCACACAGTCAGTTGATTTTTGCCGGCCGTCTTTCCTGCAACGGCAGTTTTTCTGTATTTCCTTTCTCCTCCTGTAATATGACTTGATCGCTTTAAACTCCGCACACGGAGCTCTGATTGGTCAGCAGGCGGTGTTTTCACTGAGTTGATCTCTTAGCCTGCCACCTAACCTGCTCCGGAGCAGGTTTGCCGCTCAGCATAAGTTACCATGGAAATCTAGCCTGCTAAAAAGAGAACCAGCGTCGTAGGACCGGAAAGCCCGAGATTTCCCTGAATTTAGCCGGCTAAGCGAAAATCCAGCTTCGTAGTACAGGCCTCTGGATATGTCTGAGTTACCCGGCTTACCTAATCCAAAACAAACGCGCTCTCGCTAAGCGGTCCTACGACGCTGGTTATCAACTCGTTAACTCAAGCCAGCTTTGCCCTATCTAGTTAGGTGCGCGTTCACATAAAAGGGGCGGGGCTAGCAACATTTGACCAATCACAAATATGGAGAAGCGTACTGACAGCGCAGCGTCATACTTCCTGAATGAAAAGTGAACTTTAATATTAGTCAAATATGAAGAAGTTAAACTTTAAACATCCATGACTTAAACACTTTATCCAGGATCAAAGCAGCATAGCTGCACCTGCAAGGTGAATACAGCTGGTAACAGAAAAAGTGTTTGAATGCGTACATTAACAGGTTTATGAAATCGCTGCCACGTCTAAGACACGATCTGACTTTAATTACATTTGACTCGAGTGTTTCGTCAACTTAATGTGTTGCTTAAAATAATACTTCTGCATACAGTATGTGACACTGAGAGTGTTGCACGGCCAGATACGGCTCAGCTGACTCAGATAAGGAAATATATGATACATTATGATGTGATATGATATGAATGATAATGGGACACATCGACGTCTGCACTCACAGTGCCGCGGACTGTACTTAATGTTACTCTGATCCGGTTACTTATGTCGTGGCAGATATTTAAGTAAGCTTTCTTAACGCTAATATTATAATAGTCAGATTGCTCTGAAGATGGGAGGGGATATTCTATTAATGTTCACGTTCACACAGTCAGTTGATTTTTGCCGGCCGTCTTTCCTGCAACGGCAGTTTTTCTGTATTTCCTCTATCCTGTAATATGACTTGATCGCTTTAAACTCCGCACACGGAGCTCTGATTGGTCAGCAGGCGGTGCTTTCACTGAGTTGATCTCTTAGCCTGCAACCTAACCTGCTCCGGAGCAGGTTAGCCGCTCAGCATAAGTTACCATGGAGATCTAGCCCGCTAAAAAGAGAACCAGCGTCGTAGGACCGGAAAGCCAGAGTTTACCCTGAAGTTAGCCGGCTAAGTGAACATCCGGCTTCGTAGTACAGGCCTCAGGAGTTTGGGATGTTTTAATAAAGTTTTGCTGTTGTTAAAACTTCAATTTATCAAGATTTCCTCTGTGTTTTTGATTCTTCGTTTAGCCGTGGTGCGTTCAAGCTCCCACTGGGTGAGTAACTGATGCACAGAGGATCATTTTGGAGGTTTAAATGACGTTTAAATGTAGTTTCTAAAGTATGTTTCACCGTGCAGAGACAGACAAGGATCTGAGGAAAAACTACATTATATGTATTTAGTTTCTTCATTATCATCATGTAGGCTCAGGTGCAATATGTACAATTTTAAAATATTATTCCTCGCTGCTACGTTCTCTCTACATTAAGTAAAACACTGTAGTAAAATAACACTCCTCACAGCTGCTTTTTGTTGAAGCTGCTTCTTATCTTCCAGACCTTGGGAGTGTACTTATTTTATTTTATGAATGTGTGGTTGAGTCTTTATTTAATATGTTAGTCTGTTTTTTACTTTGCCTTTTGCATGCACTGTCTCTTTGCTGCAATAATGTACATTTCCCCGACGTGTACCAGCCATTGTTAACCAATCAGAAGTGGCCCATGATAGTAGGTGATAGACAGATTGATCCAATCACCTGCCAAGTATTCTGCACAGTATTCCTGCTGTTCAAGATGAGGCAACACTAGCATAGTATAACCTAGTGACAGAAGAGAGTATCTGGGAATATTCAGCAGGAGTTTGAGATGTTTTAATAAAGTTTTGCTGTTTTTTGCAAGATTTTCTGTGTGTTTTCGATTCTTCGTTCCCCTTGGGGCGTTCAAGGTGAGTATCTGATGCACAGAGGATCATTTTAACTCTTCCTCTCACCTGGTAGGCGCTGGTGATCCTCAGTCTGTAGAGCACGGGGATGAAGATGTGAGCGGGGATGAGGAGGCCCAGGAAGTAGCTGCAGCCGAGGAACCAGTACTGCGTCCCGTGAGCGTAGACCTCCCCCGGGACGCCGATGATGGCCACGGCCGACTGGAAGGAGGCGATGAGAGACAGAGACACGGGGAGACAGCTCATACTGCGGTCCGCCATCAGGAACTCCTGCGTGGTGCGCTGCCGCCCCCCCGCCAGCGCGTGGTACAGTCCGATGGCCAGCGAGGCGGCGAGGAGAAGAGAAAATATCCCGTAGTCCAGAGGAGCAAAACGCTTCTGCAGAGACGCGTCCATCGAGAGTCAGAGATCAGAGACTGGAGACATCAGGGGGGGAGAGAGGGGAGAGATGGTTATAGGTGTGTGTGTGTGTGTGTGTGTGGGGGGAGGGGGTGTGTGTGTGGGAAGGCACCTGCAAAAGGGCACACATTCAAAACAAGGAATGCCAGCGATTTGTGTTTCTTTTACATAAATCTATTGCTGGAAAAACAACTTTTGTGACAGTTTTAAGGGATATAAAAATGTGTGTGTGTGTGTGTGTGTGTGTGTGTGTGTGTGTGTGTGTGTGTGTGTGTGTGTGTGTGTGTGTCATTGGAAGAAGTACTCAGATTTTATAATTAAGCACATTTAGCAAAACTACGGTGTGAAAATACTCCGTTACAAGTAAAAGCACAAAAGTATTGGCATCAAAATAAACTTAAAGGAGAGGTGTCATGGCCATTTCCACTGATCATAATTCCATTGTTGAGGTCTACTAAAATAGATGTATATTGTGCATTTCTCCAAACTCACATTGGTTTCTCATACAGCATCTCTGTAAACTACGTGTATTCACTGAATTTCACTCTCTGCCTTTAACGGCTCGTTGTAGCTCCAATAGCTCCAGCCCCCACCCTCCCTGTGAGCACAGTGTGCTCTGATTGGTCGGGACGTTGTGAATCGCGCTGAGCTCCGTGGAGGTGTTGCTTCCTTGTTTAGGATACATAGCGAAACACAGCCAAACTCATCCTGAGCACACACAAAGTCACAGCCGAAGTAAAAACAATAAGTGTGGCTTGATATTGAGTGAGAAAAAGGTTGATAAACTCTGTGAGAATGGGTCTGCAGAGAGAATGGGTCTGCAGAGAGAATGGGTCTGCAGAGAGAATGGGTCTGCAGAGAGAATGGGTCTGCAGAGAGAATGGGTCTGCAGAGAAAATGGGTCTGCAGAGAGAATGGGTCTGCAGAGAGGATGGGTCTGCAGAGAGAATGGGTCTGCAGAGAGAATGGGTCTGCAGAGAGAATGGGTCTGCAGAGAGGATGGGTCTGCAGAGAGAATGGGTCTGCAGAGAGAATGGGTCTGCAGAGAGAATTTGGCCGCGATCCCAACTGTCTGTTATCAGCCTGCAGCCAGGGAGGAGAAATCAGCTGAACACACAAGGGGACGGGTAATAACCGGAAAAGCATGATACCTCTCCTTTAAAGTACCAACAGTTAAAATAAATCACTTTTCAAATAAATAAATCACACACACACACACACACACACACACACACACACACACACACACACACACACACACACACCACACACACACACACACACACACCACACACACACACACCACACACACACACACACACACACACACCACACACACACACACACACACACACACACACACACACACACACACACACACACACACACACACACACACACACACACACACACACAACACACACACACACCCACACACACACACACACACACACACACACACACACACACACACACACACACACACACACACACACACACACACACACACACACACACACACAACTTTCCCCCACTTAACTGATCCAGAAATACTGACTTCCTGCAGAGAGGGGGGGGGCGTTTAAAAACAGCAGTGACCTCTAAATCTGCTCCTGTTGTCTTTCAAGGTCAAAGACAACAGGGGCAGATTGTAATAAGTCTCTCTGACCTGTTGGTGAGCTGCTTTTCTCTGCTTTAAGTCACAAGTGAATATATTTCAACAATTAAGGACTTGTTTCAGTATTTTCTGACATGTCTTCTTACACCAAATCATGAATATAAAGAATGATAAGCAGATGAATTCTTAATGAACATAGTTGTTAGTTAGTAGCAGCCATATTTTAGAGATTTCTAATGCAGAAAAGTTACATATTACTGAAATTGGGCTTTTAGATCTTAAACTATTAGACACACTGGTTTCATTTAAACCCTGAGACTCTGAGCGGAGTGAGAGTTCATGACCTTGGCCTGGTTTATTTGTTTATATAAACTTTAACTTCTGTGTTGTCTATTATTTATATAATATGCAGAGTAATCAGAGCGACCTTGTGAAAAAGAACCAGGTGTCCTTCCCTGTTTAAATAAAGTCTGTAACAATAATATAACCAGAGGTGTAAAGTAACTAAGTAAAGTGTTGAGATACTTGTACTTTACTTAAGTATTTCAATGTAATGCTACTGTGTACTTTTCCTCCACTACATGTATTTAATACCTTTAGTTACTTCACAGATGTGGATGAATGATGTGAAATCTAATCAAGTGTTAAATCAGACTTTAGTTCCACCTGGAGTAAATCCACAAGCTACCCTGCAGTATACAAAGTCATTCAAACTAGCTGCACCTTTACCAGCTTTGAGAACACTTTCATGATCAATCATTATAAAACATATCATATATATTATTCTGAAATGGACCAATCTGCACAATGACTACTTTTACTGTCGCTACTTTCACTATATTTTGATGATAATACTTTTATACTTTTACTTGAGGAACATTTTGAATGCAGGACTTTTACTGTAACAGAGTATTCCTACACTCTGGTACTTCTACTTTTACTCAAGTACAAGATCTGAGTACTTCTACTTTTACTCAAGTACATCTGAGTGCTTCTACTTTTACTCAAGTACAAGATCTGAGTACTTCTACTTTTACTCAAGTACAAGATCTGAGTACTTCTACTTTTACTCAAGTACAAGATCTGTGTACTTCTACTTTTACTACAAGATCTGAGTATTTCTACTTTTACTCAAGTACAAGATCTGAGTACTTCTACTTTTACTCAAGTACAAGATCTGAGTACTTCTACTTTTACTCAAGTACAAGATCTGAGTACTTCTACTTTTACTCAAGTACAAGATTTAAGTACTTCTACTTTTACTCAAGTACATCTGAGTACTTCTACTTTTACTCAAGTACAAGACCTGAGTACTTCTACTTTTACTCAAGTACAAGATCTGAGTACTTCTACTTTTACTCAAGTACAAGATCTGTGTACTTCTACTTTTACTACAAGATCTGAGTACTTCTACTTTTACTCAAGTACAAGATCTGAGTACTTCTACTTTTACTCAAGTACAAGATCTGAGTACTTCTACTTTTACTCAAGTACAAGATCTGTGTACTTCTACTTTTACTACAAGATCTGTGTACTTCTACTTTTACTACAAGATCTGAGTACTTCTACTTTTACTCAAGTACAAGATCTGAGTACTTCTACTTTTACTCAAGTACAAGATCTGTGTACTTCTACTTTTACTACAAGATCTGAGTACTTCTACTTTTACTCAAGTACAAGATCTGTGTACTTCTACTTTTACTACAAGATCTGTGTACTTCTACTTTTACTACAAGATCTGAGTACTTCTACTTTTACTCAAGTACAAGATCTGAGTACTTCTACTTTTACTCAAGTACAAGATCTGAGTACTTCTACTTTTACTCAAGTACAAGATCTGAGTACTTCTACTTGTACTCAAGTACAAGATCTGTGTACTTCTACTTTTACTACAAGATCTGAGTACTTCTACTTTTACTCAAGTACAAGATCTGAGTACTTCTACTTTTACTCAAGTACAAGATCTGAGTACTTCTACTTTTACTCAAGTACAAGATCTGAGTACTTCTACTTTTACTACAAGATCTGAGTACTTCTACTTTTACTCAAGTACAAGATCTGAGTACTTCTACTTTTACTCAAGTACAAGATCTGAGTACTTCTACTTTTACTCAAGTACAAGATCTGAGTACTTCTACTTTTACTCAAGTACATCTGAGTACTTCTACTTTTACTCAAGTACAAGACCTGAGTACTTCTACTTTTACTCAAGTACAAGATCTGAGTACTTCTACTTTTACTCAAGTACAAGATCTGAGTACTTCTACTTTTACTCAAGTACAAGATCTGTGTACTTCTACTTTTACTACAAGATCTGAGTACTTCTACTTTTACTCAAGTACAAGATTTAAGTACTTCTACTTTTACTCAAGTACAAGATCTGAGTACTTCTACTTTTACTCAAGTACAAGATCTGGTACTTCTACTTTTACTCAAGAACAAGATTTAAGTACTTCTACTTTTACTCAAGTACAAGATCTGAGTACTTCTACTTTTACTCAAGTACAAGATCTGAGTACTTCTACTTTTACTAAAGCACAAGATCTGAGTACTTCTACTTGTACTCAAGTACAAGATCTGAGTACTTCTACTTTTACTCAAGTACAAGATCTGAGTACTTCTACTTTTACTACAAGATCTGAGTACTTCTACTTTTACTGTACTACAGGATGAGTACTTCTACTTGTACTGCAGTACTTCTCCTCTGTATATAATAAAGAGACTCACCTTCACTCTGGAGATCAGCTGTTGTGATTGCGTCATTCAAACCGCTTGTTTACTTGTAAACATAAACAACACTCCCCTGTCCTCACGAGGAGCTCTCATGCTTGAATCTGTTCATAACCCGTTAGATTAGCCTAGCAGCTAATCTCTGCTCCATGTGATTCAAACTTGTTTTGAATTATCTTCCGGTTGGACGTAAGGGGGCGGTGGGGGTTACGTATGACGTGTGACGTGATGACGTGAAGATCACGTTCATAACACTTTAGTTAAAATCAGTAGGCGAGGCTGTAATCTCGCCAGCTGTTACTCTCATGAGCGAGGCGGAACATAATAGTTTTATCACGCCAACAAGCTGCTGGGTCGTTTATTGCACCTCAAACATTAAAACAAATCCAGAGTTCAGTGTTTCTGTACTTCCTGTAAGAACAAAGGACAAAGAAGAGCTCTGTGGCTTCAGGCTCGATCGCCGTTCAAATGACAGCGTTGTTTCCCCCAAAAGTGGGCGGGGCCGTAAAGTGACGTAGATGTTACTCTCATCTATGGACATCGATCGCCTACTGCTATATTTAACCATATATCGAGCCCGATCGTCGATTTCCAATGATTTAATGTAATTGTTTGCCTGACTGAACATCGTACTCGGGCTCTTTGAAGATCCACAAATCCACGGTTTTCAAACATTTCTGATCGGATTGGCAAAAACTTCAGAATTTGTATTGACCGCCATTCAGATGACAGCTTTGTTTTCCCCCAAAAGTGGGCGGAGCCGTACTTTTTGCCCGGAAGTGACGCATATGTTACTCCCATGGATTAGTGCTGCGTTCAAGTGATCCTCATAAAATCCTACTTTTGACTTTTGTCCCACTGTTTAATACTTTTAGTAAACACACTTTAACTTGTTTTAAAAATATCATTCAAACAAATTAATAACGACAGATTTCCGACAGAAAAGTGAACTTAGACGAGTCAAAAAGAGAACAATAAACAGTGCATTGTAAATATATAAATTAACTTTTTTATTACTACAAATTATTATTATTTTTTGGTATGTTTTACATTTATTTTAAAAGGTATATTTCTGAACAACAACATGTTTTCATGCTGCTAATAATAATATTAATAAAAATGAAATAATAGCTCCTCAAAACAAAAAAAACATAATAATAATAATAATAAATACAATAATAGTTTCTTGAAATACAAAAATAAATAATATTAATAATAAATAAAATATTAGTTCTTCAAAATAAAACATAATAATTATAAATACTATTATAATTCCTTGAAATAATAATAATAATAATGAATAAAATAAAAATAATAGTACCTCACCAATTTTTTTCTGGTGTCCCTGAACGCAGCAGGGTGTCCTGAGGTTTTTCGGTCCCCGGATGTAAACTTGACCTCATGGTTATTATTATACATCCATGATTGCCTCGCGGTCCTTTTAGCTTCACCTGTGTCCTTCAGGGTCGCGCGCTGAGGTGTTTATGAGGAACAGGAGTCAGATGAAGGTGAACAGGGGCTCGCGCTGCACCATGCAGTCTGCACGCGCACGGACCACTGTTGTTGTGAAGCTCGTGAGTAAAAGTTTAATTATTGATCAAGTTAGTTAGAATCAAGGGTATAACTTTGGTTTGAGAAGTGTGGGGGGGGGGGACACAAAACAGGGGGTCCTCCGCAATGAAACATTTTCTCGATTTAATTCAATTTCCTGCCTTTCTACACATATATTAGGGACTATGGTGTTAACAAATCAAAGGAAAATGTGTAGTGTATATGATGAGTGTGCTAACTTATCTAGTATCCTCTCCATGTGGGTGGACTTCACCTCCTCTAGGGGGGTCCTCACCTCCTCTCGGGGGTCCGGGGGCATGTTTTAAATTGAAGTTAAAAGCATCAATCTGGTGCACTTTGAGGGCAACATTAAGAGATCTATGGATACAGCTCTCAACACTCAAATGAAACAGAACTGTATGTATTTCAATAATCAAACAACCATTATGATTAGAGTATGCTCACAACCAATAACACATATTAACTCCTATCTTTATGTTACCTAGTCTGCATTCTTTCGTGTTATTTATGCATACTTTACTAATCACTCTCATTTCAAACTGTGTTTTTTATTCTGTACTGACCTATAGCACACATTGGAATGATTTCTTAACTTATTTTTTACAATGTTATTAAATAGATGGAAATATTTGTTTACAAAGATGACCAAACTGTTTGATGACCAAACTGTTTGAGAGCCACTGAGATAATTTAGACTAAAGTTTACAATCTAATCGCTCAGCGAGTCCTTTAGCTCACTGAGCTGACGTGATCTCAGCCTCTCAGTCTGACAAGAGAGCTCTCCCTCTCCTTGTTGCTGAAACAGTTTCTAATCTCCGTTAGCTCCGAGCTAGCACCAGATGCTAACAACATATTCATTTTACCTAGTGAATACATTTGTTTTGTTTTTTAATTGTTTTAATGTGTAAATTGTATTCCGTTTTAAAGATACTTAAAATGTATTTAAATGTCCTATTATTAAAAAAAAGAATCAAATAAGTTCTTTTTACATTTAAATACAATTTACTTAACTTTTTCTATGCTAAAAAAATCATAATTTGAATGTAGAAATTGTCCTATATTTTGTCTAACATGTCTCCCTATCCTCTCCCTCTAATCACAGCTGGTGTATTACTTCATATTACCCTCTTTAATATCAGTCTCATTGAGTCTGGGTGTCTCACCTGCAGAGTCCTGTTTGTCCCCTGCAGAATAAAGTGTGTGTTTCTGTGTCTCTTCAGGACTGAGCAGCATGGAGCTGTTCGGCTGGATGAAGGCGGCCGGCAGAGCGACTCCAGGTGGCCTGAAGAGGGCCGGGAACCAGAGGCTGGACAACATGAACCAGAGGCTGGTCCACATGCATCCCAGCGCCGGGTCAGCGAGGGTGAGCCATGGATGTATAATAAGAACTGGATACAGCGTGGGAGGCGGGGTCTCGTTCTTTCCTATGAGAGCTGCTCATTGGCTCATGAGGACAAAATGGCCCAACTTTTGAGAGAGCGAAACGTCACAGATTACCCAGCAGGCCTGGCTGTCAGAGCAGAAGAACCCGTATGTGCGCTCACAGAGCATGCGCCCCTTAAGCCCCGCCCCCCGAGCTCCCACTCTCAGATGCGCGTTCATAATGCCGAGGAAAATAACTTTTTTAACGTTATTAGCACATTTTACAACTTGAGGGCCGAATGATTCTAATAAGGGCTATAACATACTTCATACTGGGTCGTTTATTTGGTTAAAAAAAAATTATCCGTTGATTTACAGACGTCTCTTTCCCAATGTTAGTCAATGGGGAAAAGTCTTTCCGGGCCCAGCGACTGATACGAACTGATACGGAAGTTGCAGTACCGCCGTTTGGACACAACGAATATTTTCCTCAGAGTCCGGCGCACTTCCTGGGGGCTTGGGGTGAGCGGGTCGGGTTCCTCTAACAGAGTCCCAACAACAACAACAATAGAGAGACACAGATAGCTGACCCTCAAATAAAGCTGCTAATAACACATATAAATAGACAGGTGGATCTAAAACAAATGAAATCTCAATCTAAAATGAAATCTAAATACAAATTAAATCAAAAAAATAAATAAATCTGAATCTAAAAAAATCTAAATCCCCCAAAAACCTAAATCTAAAAAAAATGAAATCTCAGTCCTAAAAATATTCAGATCCCAAAAAATGTGAATCCCAATGAGCTCTAAATCTTTAAAAAGTCTAAATAAAAATCTAAAATAAATCTCAATAGAAGAAAATCTTAATCCAAAATAAATCTTTAAAAAAATGTAAATCTGAAAAAAATCTATATGTGAAGAAAAATCTGAATCTAAAATAATTCTTAAGGCTTCCTCTTAAGGTTATCCTTAACATGCTGACCTTAGTATTCAAGCGTTTCTCCTTAACTTGGTTTGATACTTTAGTTAAACTGTTGCACTAAACACTTTAAGGGTCTGAAAATAAATCGAAATCCCTAAAATATCGAAATCTAAAAGAAATCTCAGTCCTAAAAATAATGCGAATCCCAATAAACTCTAAATCTTAAAAAAATCTAAATTAAAATGGAATTAAAAAAAAAAGAGAACAGAGGAATTAAAGAAATGAGAAACCTTCTAAGAAAAATCTATATCCAAACATTTCTCATTTCTCATTTCTTTAACGCCTGCTGCTTCCCCTCCTCTCTCCTCGGTTCCCCTCCTCCCCTCCTCTCTCCTCGGTTCCCCTCCTCGACTCCTCTCTCCTCGGTTCCCCTCCTCCACTCCTCTCTCCTCGGTTCCCCTCCTCCACTCCTCTCTCCTCGGTTCCCCTCCTCCCCTCCTCTCTCCTCGGTTCCCCTCCTCGACTCCTCTCTCCTCGGTTCCCCTCCTCGACTCCTCCGCTCGCATCTCCTGTGGGCGGGACTAAGACACGAGGATAGGAGTCGAGGATAGGAGTCGAGGAGGGGAACCGAGGAGGGGAATTAGAGAAATGAGAAACCTTCTAAGAAAAATCTATATCCAAACATATAAAATAAAATTCCATCTAAAACCCTCTCACTCCTCCTCCTTAACTCCTGCCTGATTAATCCTGCTGCTCCTGCAGGAGGCGTTGATGAAGCCCAGATGTGCAGCTTTTTCCTCTTTCTGCGGCGGAGCAGCGAGCGATAACCGTCTGAAACATCTCAGAGAGGCGTCGGCGATGTTCTCCGGACACACGAGGTCCTTCACCTCCGACAACTCGGACAACTCAGGAAACATCAAGGGAACCGTGAAGCCGCACAAACAAGTGGTAAACAAGCTGAGGCTCCATCTCTCACAGGCTCCGCCCTCTTCTGGACTCTATGCCTACCTGGATGCGCCCGCATTCAGGTAGGAATAGAGTCCAGGAGAGGGCGGAGCCTGTGTGAGATAGAACTCGGGTTACAATATGTAACCCCCCGTTACAAATACTCCCTCTTTGATTAGATATAGGAGGATTTTGTTCATTTTGCTGTTGTTTGAATCCAGTTGTTTTTGTTTCAGCTGAGTGACCGCTCGAGAGAGAGGAAGGTTCCCGTCACTCGGATCGGACGCCTCTTCAACTTTGGAGGTACGTCTGTTTATTACTGAAAATATCTATATATTTAAAATGTTTACAGGATGAGTGAGGGTACAATTACATTACATTCAAGAGTTCATGACACCAATAAATTAATTGGAAACAACATTGTATTTAAAGGTCACCTATCATGCTATGTGTAGGCAATAGCATAGGTCTCAGATATATATACAAATATATAAAAAAACATGTCTCTGAAGTGTTTTGCTCAAAATACCAAACAGATCCCCCATTCTAGCCATGCCTCATATCCCTCTATTTCACTTCCTGTTTCAAAAGTGATGATTCGGAGTATAAAGCTTTAAAAAATAGATAAAAAAATAAGAAGGAGGGGTCTGAGCTCATATGGGACCCGGCAGCTACCGTCTAAACTAAATACTGCCGTGATGAAACGCCATATCATGGATTATCAAGGATTCTCTCTGAAACAGTATGGAGCTCAAAGGCTTTCTCTCTTGCCGGTTATACCACAAGGTAAGTTCCTTTTTATTTCCTGCTTCTTCACACACATGCTCTCCAGTACAGGTTAGCTCTGAGTGTTAGCGATGCTAATGTAAACACCGACTATATTACGTCCAAAACAGTCGGGCATTGTTTCTGATAGCAACGTTTCTGATAGGGCCGTGGGTCCACCTTTCAGATATTACGTCATATCGGACGCAAATCTGGATCAGCTCCGTTGTTCCCCCGTTTTTAGAGATTTGGGTTCGGAGGAAAAGAGAGAGGGTTTTATTTTCTGATGCTGCGTGAGTTCCCTGACACACCGGGGACACATGTTGATGTAGAAAAGACATCAGAAAGTGCATTTTGCATGATAGGAGACCTTTAAAGATTTTAAGATATAGACGTGATTGCTATATCTACTGTATAGAACATTGAAAACACTTATTAATGCTATCAGTCACGTTGCTTATTTTGAGCTTTGTTTCTCTTTTAGCGAGTTGATTGTGAGGTTTTAGGGGAGTGAGACGAAGCAAAAGGAAATTATGGAGAGGTGCTGAATATTTTAAACAATATCATATGTGTATTAATGACATATCACGTTTATTGTCAATTGTTCCTCCATTGGACTCTTTTATTACTGCCTGAACATAGTGACATCACTATGGAACACTAGCGCTCCTATAGGCTAAGGGGCGGGACAACTCTAAGCAGGTTGACCAATCACAACAGAGCCGGCCAGCTAACCAATCAGAGCAGACTGTAACAACATTTTACTTAAATGACTTATTACTGAAAATATCAATGCCATTTCTGGTGCAGGAATGAGTCCTAAAACCAGACATGAGTCAGCATTTAATCACTTCCTGTCCCCTGGTCTGGAGGTCAATGGTTCTCTGAGTGTTTTTTTGGTTGTTAGCCTGAAATCAGGACTTGTTGTTCTACGACATGACGGTAAATACGTCCACTGTTGGATTTAAAAACAAAGGTCTAAATTAAACGTCTCGCTTTGTTTCTGACCTCGTCGCCATTCCTGAAACTACAGCTGAGTATTTTAAAGTTAGACCTAAAATAATAACGGCCTTCCTCTCGTCCTGAAATGAACTCTGCAGAAATCTGATCTGCTGTTATCTCCTCCTTCATGTTCATGGTCTGTTATCAGATATAAACCTGAGGCTCCAGAGAGCAAACACACACACGGAGAGCCTTCAACACAAAAGCATGAACTAAACTACTTTATTTAACTTGGATAATAACACTCAATAATAAACTCCCACTGTACACTATCCATCCATCCATCCATCTATCTATCTATCTATCTATCTATCTATCTATCTATCTATCTATCTATCTATCTATCCATCAACCCACCTACCCACCTACCCACCTACCCACCTACCTACCCACCTACCCACCTACCTACCCACCTACCTACCTACCTACCCACCTACCCACCTACCCACCTACCTACCTACCCACCTACCCACCCACCTACCCACCTACCCACCTACCTACCTACCCACCTACCTACCCACCTACCTACCCACCTACCTACCCACCTACCTACCTACCCACCTACCCACCTACCTACCCACCTACCCACCTACCCACCTACCCACCTACCCACCTACCTACCTACCTACCCACCTACCCACCTACCCACCTACCTATCTACCTACCCACATACATACCCACTTACCCACCTACCCACCTACCCACCTACCTACCCACCTACCCACCTACCTACCCACCTACCCACCCACCTACCCACCCACCTACCCACCTACCCACCCACCCACCTACCCACCTACCCACCTACCTACCCCACCTACCTACCTACCTACCTACCTACCTACCTACCTACCTACCTACCTACCTACCCACCTACCTACCGACCTACCCACCTACCCACCCACCTACCCACCTACCCACCTACCCACCTACCCACCTACCTACCCACCTACCCACCTACCTACCTACCTACCTACCTACCCACCTACCTACCTACCTACCTACCTACCTACCCACCTACCTACCTACCTACCTACCTACCCACCTACCTACCTACCTACCTACCTACCTACCTACCTACCTACCTACCTACCTACCCACCTACCTACCTACCCACCTACCGACACTTGCATTAATGACAGTTTGTGAATTTGTTTAAATCTTGATGTTCCTGCAGGTCTGGCGGTCGGACTGGGTTTCGGAGCGATCGCTGAAATGGCGAAGAAGAGTTTCCAGCCTCAACAGAAAGGTGACGAGAGGAAGACTTTATTCGTTTATTCAGAGGTCGAGCAAGGTTGTTTTAAATGTGCTAAATAAATAAAGATTGAGATATCTTTTTATATATATTTGTGTTCTGGATTGTGGGAAACAGTATTTGGATCTCTCTGTCTGTACACACAAACCGGAAGACTGACAATAAAGTTGACTTTGACTTTGAGATTGATGTTTGTTTGTTTGTTTGTTTGTTTATGTTCTGTTTCCAGGAGCTCTGAGCTCGAGTGCCTTTCTGTCCGAAGCGAACGCTCAGAGAATCGTTCGGACGCTCTGCAAAGTGCGAGGAGCCGCGCTGAAGATCGGGCAGATGCTCAGCATTCAGGGTGAGGAGAAGCTTCAGTAATAATGATATAGGGATCATTCGGGGAGTTGTCGTGGCGTTTTCACCCGTTTCTATCGGGGTTGTGGGTTATGACGCGCTTCTCTTTGCTTCCAAACTAACTTTGTGGAGATCGTTGAATCAAATCAGATTTATTCATTGATCCAGGCGGCGTACAAACCGGAAGACAAACTTCCTCGCTTGAAAGAAACTAAGAGTTCTCCGTATCAAAGTAGAACAAAAAGAACACGGTGAAAAGACTTTACCGCATCCCGTCTAATCACAATCAGCTGTGTCCCATTGCCCTGCCATATATAGACATGAAGACATATCTTGTTGTTGTTCATTTGTAAATTCAACATGTATAATTTCTCTAATGTGCAATGCCTTGTCTTTTTATGCTGCTGCAACAAAAACATGTCCCAACTTGGGATCAATAAAGTACTTCTTATCTTATCTCGCTCTCTTCTAAAGACATGCACGTCATACCCGACAGCGCACATTAGACAGCAAATAAGTGAGACATCTTTTAAACCGTAATGTGACACACAGAAATAGCTAAGAGTTTACTCATATTTACTTATATTAGTAAGACAAACATTCAAACCAGTGGAGGCTGGTGGAAAATATTTTTGGTGGGGCTTGTGTGTGTGTGTGTGTGTGTGTGTGTGTGTGTGGTGTGTTGTGTGTGTGTGTGTGGTGTGTGTGTGTGTGTGTGTGTGTGTGTGTGTGTGTGTGTGTGTGTGGTGTGTGTGTGTGTGTGTGGTGTTGTGTGTGTGTGTGTGTGTGTGTGTGTGTGTTGTGTGTGTGTGTGTGTGTGTGTGTGTGTGTGTGTGTGTGTGTGTGTGTGTGTGTGTGAGTGTGGTGTGTGTGTGTGGTGTGTGTGTGTGTGTGTGTGTGTGTGTTGTGTGTGTGTGTGTGTGTGTGTGTGTGTGTGTGTGTGTGTGTGTGTGTGTGTGTGTGTGTGAGTGTGTGTGTGTGTGTGTGTGTTGTGTGTGTGTGTGTGCCCCCCCTCCCGCTTTCCTTGCCCTCCTCCCGGTTTCCTCCCGGCGTCCTCTTTCTCCCGATTTCTGCCCCATCAGATTTACTCACGACTGTTTCCACTCGGACTTTAATACAGCTACACCATTGTTTGGTTTCCATGGTAGCGCATCTCTTTAGCAGCGCGCGCAACTCAAAGTCTGAGTGGGTGAGGAAGATGAAAACTGAACAAGAATCGACAACTCGACCCTCTGCTCACTCCTTTCCTGTAAAATACAGGTCCAGCCCACACATATGCTCCATGGTGCTTCAGGCATTGCCCTTACAACTACAATAAGCATGTAAATGTTAATCTACAGCTCCGGCGATCCACTAGCACCGGAGTCTCCACCTGCAGACGCAGCCATCCTCAACAACTACTGTAGCGTCACCTTGGATACGAGTCCAAACAACTCACAGACACACGGGCCAGGGCGCTGACAGGGCGCCCTTTGAGCATCAGATCTGACGACGCTGATTGGCTGAAATTATGTTTCGGCGGCATAGTTTACAGATAGCAACAGTCAGCAATGTGTTGGCTGCTGCTGCTCTGGCTGAGGGTTCCTTTCTTATCGCCCGGACGAGAGAGAGGGTAATGATACACGCTGCGGCCAGGCAGGAAACATGTGACTTATTAGTAACTTTAGACATCGTAAAACAATTTTAAACGAGATTTTATTGTAGATTATACATTTTACTGATACCAACTATATATTATTTACCTTGTTCATTAAAAAAAATATATATATATATTTCTTTTTAAATATATTTTTTTATTTATTTTTTATTTTTTAATGACAATCAAACATGTGGGAAGAGGGGGGCGGCGCCCCTAGCGCCCCAATAGAGTGGCGAAGTCCCTCCCCTTCCGGTTGAGCCCCATGGGACCTTATTTCGGAAAAGTTATGCATTGAAGTCAATGGAGAGAGAAAGATTATCTTTCGATCCCGTTTGAATTGTGCCACGAATTACACATATGATGTTTGTCAATTTAAAAGATAATTTTGCAAGTCAAAAAAAAAAAAAATGTGCCGTAAAACTGTGAAGTAACACATTTGTTTGTGTGAAACGCTAAATGAACTACATCTCTGGTCAACCACACACATCACCAAGATGGCCGTCACTACTGTCTTGTCAACAAACGATTGACTATCACCACAATGAAACACGTCCTGAAGAATGTCATGCAAAGCTGCCTGCCTGCCTTCCTTTGATTCTCTCTGAACTGCCTGGTCGTTTTAATGTTTAATGTCAACCATTTGTGCAGATAGCATGAAGTAGAGAAGATCGCCGATGCTAACGTTAGCGTTAGCATTTCTCCCCCGGAATTAAATGGTGTATTATAGAATGATCACACCGGTGACAGTACTATTCAAAGGGTTCACGAAATATGACTACTACTCTTACTGTTTAACATTTTGGGTTACTTAATGTTACTTCATGTTAAGGCTAATAAAAATGACAAGGCTGTAATGCTAACTAACGTGCTAGCTACTAGCTAGGTAGCTAACTTGATCAAGCCACTCCTGGTCCTTTCATCAGACGGGAAGCAAAAGAACGAGCAAGACCCATTGCTGGTATAATAACAACCTGGTACTAAGCACACAGGCATCTTGTTAAAGTTATCTTATCTTAGCCAGCGCCATATAGATAGATTATATCTATATTGCGCTGATCTTAGGTATCTGAATGGTGGAGGTAAACAATTGTGACATCACTTACGCGACTCTGGGATTTGTAGTCTTTCTAGTTACGTATTTTTCATAGTCTTATATTTCAACAGTTTTACGACAAACTGTGACTTTTTTGACATGGAAATGATTTTTTAAGATTGACAAACATCATATGTGTAATTCATGGCACAATTCAAACGGGATCGAAAGATAAGTTTTCTCTCCCCATTGACTTCAATGCATAATTTTTCCGAAATAAGGTCCCATACCCCGGAAGTAAGTGGGAGGGACTTCGCCACTCTATGGGCCAGCCGCCACTGATTCAAACCATAATGATGGAAGGAAAATGGCTCGAACAGTAGTGCTTCTGTGTCTTTAAAGCAGTGCTTCTCAAAGTGTGGTCCGTGAGCGCCCCCTAGTGGTCCGTGAGTATATTGGTAACATTTCACATTTGAAATAATAATAAAAATCCACAGCGGAGGTTTGTGTCGTACTACAGGCGGTGTATTTTGCATTTCTCTCAGTAGCCAACGATCTGTGAGTCTGTTGGCTCGGACATGAACTCCGTAATAAATGTAGTCTACATTTCATAAGAGGTGTAAAACCTGATAGCATTTTAAATCTTATTTGAACGAAATGCTGATATAATCTGTTGTTGTATTGTGGATTTAATGTGTGAACGAGGCGATACAGAGAAGGTTAAGCTGCCATTATTAGGCTGTAATGTACTGTTGGAGTGGTAAGCAGGCCTATTGGTTCTGGATATCTGTGCAGTCAGGTGGTCCGTGAGTGTTTTTTTATTGGTTAAGTGTCCTTGGTATGAAAAAGTTTGAGAAACACTGCTGTAAAGGGGCCCTTTGCGTTGCGTTGCAGTTACAACTCTCCGCCAACAGATGGGGGTGCTGCAGCCCCCTCAGCACCCCCCCTTCCCGCGTCCATGTTAGAATTGGGAGGGATGAAACCCTCTTTAATGGTCACGCATGCAGAGCACACAGTGACATTTGTCCTCTGCATTTAACCCATCCTAGTACCAGGAGTCTAGCACTAGGAGCAGTTGCACAGTGACCAAATACATCAAATGTTGGTTACCAGTTGGGGGAAAATGTATATAATTATTTGTTATTTTAATAATGTTTCTGTTTGATTACAAAAATAATTGCATTATTTTTAGCTGTAGTATTTCCCACAGTATTTTAAATATTGTGTTTTTACTGATTAATCCCTCAAAGAGGTTGATCAATAACAACATTAATAATGATAATGATATATATATATTTAAAATAATTAAAAATAAATAAATAAAATACATTCTAATAATAAAAATAATGATAATAATAGTAATAAATAATAATAATAATATATATTTAAAATAATAACAAAATACAAAATTAAATACATTATAATAATATAATAATGTATATTTAAAATAATAACAAAATACAAAAGTAAAAAACTATCTAATAATAATAATAGCAGGAAGTTTTAAACGATGTTATTTTGTCTCTTCTCTTTCAGACGACGCTGTCATTAACCCTCAGTTGGCCAAAATCTTCGAGCGAGTTCGACAGAGCGCTGATTTCATGCCCCCCGGACAGATGATGGTACGATCCACTGAGACGCAGGAAACATCCTCTAATTGCATGAATCAGAGTTAATAAGTAATATATATTTATGTTTCCTGCAGAAAGCCGTGGGCAGCGACCTCGGTCCTGATTGGAGGAGCCGTCTGGAGTTCTTCGAGGAGAAACCGTTCGCGGCAGCGTCGATCGGGCAAGTCCACGCCGCCAGGATGAAGGACGGACGAGACGTCGCCATGAAGATACAGGTGGGAAGAAAATGGATATAAATTAGAAAAAAAGACCGACAAAAACTCCAATAAATAAAAACTATATATTTTATCAAAGATTCTACGAGAATGATTTTGTCTCGTTGAAAAAAATATATATATATATACCTTAAAATGATTTACTTTGTATCCTGCAGATAGAAATATAATGTGTGTTTCCCACGTGCAGACATTTAATTAAAACATGACATTTTGTAGCAGATGAAATTCAATAAAAAAAAATAAAACTAATTATATGAAAACTAAAGCTAAATATTAAAACAATTATAAAATACATCTTCATATATAAATCTATATATAAATGCAGAAAAAGTTCAACTTAACTTAATTGAATTAATGAAACCTAGAAAAACTGAAAATCAATATATATATATATATAAAAACTAAAGCTAAATATATGAAATGGAATATACATAAATATAATTTTTACAAGGAAACTAAATAAATATATAAAAACTAAAACTGCATTTATAAAGAAAAACTATAAAAAACGATATGAAAAAATACAACAAATGATGAAAAACAAAACTGTAATACATGAAACTTAAGAAATACTAACTTTAAATGGAGGAAATAAAATACATTTAAATATTAAACATTAAAAAAATATATATTAAAAAAAACCTGAAACTAAATGTTTTTTTAAAGAAAAATATTGAATGAATCTAAAGTGAAATTAATATGTTTCAGTACCCCGGCGTGGCTCAGAGCATCGACAGCGACGTGAACAACATCATGACGGTTCTGAAGCTCAGCAACATGCTGCCTGAGGGTACTATCGTATCTACATATATATATATATATATATTCATATATACTGTATATATAGTTTCTATAATGATCTGATGTTCCTCAGGTCTGTTTCCGGAGCACATGATCGAGGTGATGAGCAGGGAGCTCGCTCTGGAGTGTGATTACCTTCGAGAGGCCGAGTGCGCCAGGAAGTTCCAGTGAGTTCTTCATTTAAATATATATATATATATATTTATATATATATATTTATATACAGTATATATAAACAGAGACTGACTTCACAGTGTTTTAGGTCGACCTTTAAAAGGAGTTACCTTGAATACTTGGCGCACCATTAATATGACTGATTACATAGATTTACATTTTACAACATTAAAGGTCCCCTATCATCCTCTTCTTCATCAATACATCACAGCTCTCAGATATATCCAGAGCATGTCTCTGATTGGCTGAAACACCAAACAGATCATTGCAGCATTACCCATAATCCCCTCTGTTTCAGCCCTGTTTCCAAAGTGCTGATTCTCTGTCTGTTACTTTAGATGAAAATAAGGAGCCCCTCCCCACGCCCCTCTGAGAGACATTTGGTTACAAAGAACTCAATGGTGCTCTAGGAGGAGATTCAGGTGATAAGGGGGGGGGGGGGGGGGGGGGGGGGGTACCTTGGTTGGTGATTGGCTAATGGTTACTCAAGACAAAACATCGTTATGACATCACAAAGTGGCCAAAATCTGATCAGCTCATTTTCAGACAGGTTTTTATAGAAATGGATCAAAAAGAGAGAGAATCTTTGTTCCTGAAACTTTCAGAGTCTCTTTCCACAGAGGGGACACATGTTGATGAAGAAGAGACATGAAGAAGAGGGGACACATGTTGATGTAGAAGAGACATGAAGAAGAGGGGACACATGTTGATGTAGAAGAGACATGAAGAAGAGGGGACACATGTTGATGTAGAAGAGACATGAAGAAGAGGGGACACATGTTGATGAAGAAGAGACATGAAGAAGAGGGGACACATGTTGATGTAGAAGAGACATGAAGAAGAGGGGACACATGTTGATGTAGAAGAGACATGGAGAAGAGGGGACACATGTTGATGTAGAAGAGACATGAAGAAGAGGGGACACATGTTGATGAAGAAGAGACATGAAGAAGAGGGGACACATGTTGATGAAGAAGAGACATGAAGAAGAGGGGACACATGTTGATGAAGAAGAGACATGAAGAAGAGGGGACACATGTTGATGTAGAAGAGACATGAAGAAGAGGGGACACATGTTGATGTAGAAGAGACATGGAGAAGAGGGGACACATGTTGATGTAGAAGAGACATGAAGAAGAGGGGACACATGTTGATGAAGAAGAGACATGAAGAAGAGGGGACACATGTTGATGAAGAAGAGACATGAAGAAGAGGGGACACATGTTGATGAAGAAGAGACATGAAGAAGAGGGGACACATGTTGATGTAGAAGAGACATGAAGAAGAGGGGACACATGTTGATGAAGAAGAGACATGAAGAAGAGGGGACACATGTTGATGAAGAAGAGACATGAAGAAGAGGGGACACATGTTGATGTAGAAGAGACATGAAGAAGAGGGGACACATGTTGATGTAGAAGAGACATGAAGAAGAGGGGACACATGTTGATGAAGAAGAGACATGAAGAAGAGGGGACACATGTTGATGAAGAAGAGACATGAAGAAGAGGGGACACATGTTGATGTAGAAGAGACATGAAGAAGAGGGGACACATGTTGATGAAGAAGAGACATGAAGAAGAGGGGACACATGTTGATGAAGAAGAGACATGAAGAAGAGGGGACACATGTTGATGTAGAAGAGACATGAAGAAGAGGGGACACATGTTGATGAAGAAGAGACATGAAGAAGAGGGGACACATGTTGATGAAGAAGAGACATGAAGAAGAGGGGACACATGTTGATGAAGAAGAGACATGAAGAAGAGGGGACACATGTTGATGAAGAAGAGACATGAAGAAGAGGGGACACATGTTGATGTAGAAGAGACATGAAGAAGAGGGGACACATGTTGATGTAGAAGAGACATGAAGAAGAGGGGACACATGTTGATGTAGAAGAGACATGAAGAAGAGGGGACACATGTTGATGTAGAAGAGACATGAAGAAGAGGGGACACATGTTGATGAAGAAGAGACATGAAGAAGAGGGGACACATGTTGATGTAGAAGAGACATGAAGAAGAGGGGACACATGTTGATGTAGAAGAGACATGGAGAAGAGGGGACACATGTTGATGTAGAAGAGACATGAAGAAGTGGATTTTGCATAATAGGTGACCTTTAAAGGTTGTCCTGCATTTAGACTTTTTAATGATTTGTAACAACTTGTTCCCTGTTCTCCAGAGAGCTCCTGAAGGACGACCCGTACTTCTACGTCCCGGACGTGGTCCCGGAGCTCAGCGGGTCTCACGTCCTCACCACGGCTCTGGTGCCCGGATTCCCTCTGGACCGAGCCGTCGACCTGAGCCAGGAGCTCCGGGACGAGGTGCACAAACCCCTCTCATATCTGCACCTGTTGCATATATATCCTTTATTTAACCAGGTCTCATTGAGGTTCAAATCTCTCTTTCCAGAGCCACCTGGCCAAGAGGGCAGCTTGAACACAGTTACAACAAATGAACACAAAACAATACAGGCAGACGAATACAGCTGTAAAACACAAATGAAATGGCACATTAAACAGTCAATACGCAATCAGAATCAGATCAGAATACCTTTTAAAATGTACGTTGTTACAGCAGAAAAGAGCCACAGACGTTAACTAGGAAGCATGCATACATTTTTTTTAATAAATACAATACAATGCAAATAAAAGAAGCTATTATAAAACGTTAAAAACTGGCACAATTTAAACTTCATTTATGGGATATATACGAGCAATCACATCGACCAATTTGTTCTTGTTGTCTGTCCTTTAAGATGGACTTTAACTTTATTTCAATCAGGAGAGACGGTGTTGATAAGAAAACATATTTATTTCCAGGTGAATGGGTAGTTGGGGTCGGTCTGAAGGGGAGTGGTTTAGCTTGACCCTGGTGGTGGTGAATGGGTAGTTGGGGTCGGTCTGAAGGGGAGTGGCTTAGCTTGACCCTGGTGGTGGTGAATGGATAGTTGGGGTCGGTCTGAAGGGGAGTGGCTTAGCTTGACCCTGGTGGTGGTGAATGGATAGTTGGGGTCGGTCTGAAGGGGAGGGGCTTAGCTTGACCCTGGTGGTGGTGAATGGGTAGTTGGGTTCGGTCTGAAGGGGAGGGGCTTAGCTTGACCCTGGTGGTGGTGAATGGGTAGTTGGGGTCGGTCTGAAGGGGAGTGGTTTAGCTTGACCCTGGTGGTGGTGAATGGATAGTTGGGGTCGGTCTGAAGGGGAGTGGCTTAGCTTGACCCTGGTGGTGGGGAATGGGTAGTTGGGTTCGGTCTGAAGGGGAGGGGCTTAGCTTGACCCTGGTGGTGGTGAATGGATAGTTGGGGTCGGTCTGAAGGGGAGTGGCTTAGCTTGACCCTGGTGGTGGTGGTGAATGGATAGTTGGGTTCGGTCTGAAGGGGAGGGGCTTAGCTTGACCCTGGACTCAGAGGGACAGGAGGTGAAAAGGGGTGGAGGGGGGTTGCGTCGAGTCACCTGAAATGACAGCTGTCAGAGGAGAGAGCTAATTTAAAGGGTTAGCGGAGCGCTATGATAGGCTTGTGAGAATAGAGCGAAGTGATTGGTTAAGCTGGGGAGTGACGCCCCGATCACTAATTGAGAGGAGAGAGAGTAGTAACATAGAAATAGTAAATGAATGAGGAAAGACGGTCTTCCTGTTTGAACTTGCGCTGAGCTTCATTTGTTGGCTCACCTTTATCAAAACAAATCTTGCAGAAATATTGTGCGAAAGCAGCTGCACAGCTTTGGAAAGAACACGGCCAAGGTCTGGAAGATAAGAAGCAGCCAGTGATAACAGCTGTGAGGAGCACTTCTCATCTCATCTTACATTCTACTAAAATGATTTAGTTTTCATCCTGTAGATAGAAATATAATGTGTGTTTCTCACGTGCAGATTTAAATTAAAACATGACATTTTGTCTAAGATTAAATGAATAAAATATATATATTAAAACTAAATATCTAAAGAAAATAATTTAATATAAAAAAAATGTTATCTTGTTCAGTTATAAAAAACTAAATATATAAATAAAATAAACTGAAAATAAATTCATATAAAAAGTGAAGTTTTAATATTAACTAAATGTCCCAAATTGGGATCAATAAAGTACTTCTTATCTCCTCTCTCCTCTCTCTCTCCCCTCTCCTCTCTCTCTCCTCTCCTCTCCCCTCCTCTCTCCTCTCTCTCTCCTCTCTCCTCTCTCCTCTCCTCTCCTCTCTCCCCTCCTCTCCTCTCTCTCATATTATCTTCTAGAGACAGTGAGATAGTTACTGATACACATCCATCAGAGCTACTAACTCGAACACACACATAGACATTTCAGACTAATAACCTGTTAAGCCCGAGAGACCCCTGTACCGGGGCACTGCCGCAACATCTTGCAGGAAACAGTGTCTGAGGGCATGTTCATTTAATAAACTATGAATGTTTTATATCCATGTAACGGGAAGAAACTCATCTAACAGATCATTTTTATTTATTTTTCAAAATAAAACCCACAATGCTAACACTGAGCCTCTGAATTAGCAACGAGCGAAAAATGCTAACAGATTACTGCACCGAAAATCACTCACAAAACCTTATTATTTATCTTTTCTCCACATCCATGACATCGTTTCACATCGTGAGGTGACACAGAATCGATGGGTACCCTCATTATCACTGAATTATACGAATTTGCAACGTTATAAGCAAAAACAGACATCAAAACTTTTGACGCTAGGTAGCTAAAAATGCTAACAAGGTTACCTTGGCTCTGTAGTCTCTCCAAAGTGGTCTTCAATGGCATTAAAACGATAAAAACGCTGCTGAAGTTAATCCATAGGTTAATCCAATGTGTCTGTGTCCCTTTGAAATGATTTCTGATAATCCATGAGCAAACAGACGGATAATCCATGCTTTTACGTTTCTAGATGTCAGAGCTAGAATGTAGCTTCACTCTAATGCAAAATGACATGCGCAAAGCCCCCACCTTTTTGTTTTACAATGAGTGTGTGTGGGGGACTCCCCCTTCGATTCTATTGGCTCTAACGGTCAGAAAGAGGTGTCAACCATCAAAATCGACCAATGGGTTCCAGAGATATGGAAAAAAAAAACATTTCTACCCAAATGACCCCAGAAGTGTTTCTTTTTGCTAAACCTCTCTAAAATGGTCAAATGTCACTTGTTTTGCATCAATCTTGATACAGGGTACTTATTATATGTTGTACTTTGGATTCCTAAAGCTTTTAGTCTACTAACCCATCATCCAAGGGTAGTTTTCACTATAAGTAAAAAAGAATTTTTGGACGGACACTATAATTTACAGTTTTCTACTATCTAAAATCTGAATTTTCTTTAAAATAAAAAACATCTATATTGATTCTGACTTTTCTACATCCAACTCACAGGTTTATCATTACTTTGAGAAAAAAGATTATTAATTTACCCCTTTTAGAAGGGAAGATATGGTCATTTGTTCTGGGAATGTCATTTTCGAGCCTGAGACCTGAAAAACAGGCTCAGGGCTTAACAGGTTAACAGATTCTACTTTTTAATGCTGCTTTAATTATATTTTGAGATGTTTAAATTCTAGTTTTGTTTTTTTCTACTCTTTAATTTCTACTTGTGTTTTGTTTTGTTGTTTTTTATGCTGCTGCAACGCAAACACGTCCCAACTTGGGATCAATAAAGTACTTCTATCTTATCTTATCTTCTGTTAACCCTTTCCTCTCTCCTTTCCTCTCTCCTCTCCTCTCCTCTCTCCTCTCCTCTCCTCTCTCCTGTCTCCTCTCCTCTCCTCTCTCCTCTCCTTTCCTCTCTCCTCTCCTCTCTCCTCTCCTCTCCTCTCTCCTGTCTCCTCTCCTCTCCTCTCTCCTCTCCTCTCCTCTCTCCTCTTTCCTCTCTCCTCTCCTCTCTCCTCTCCTCTCTCCTCTCCTCTCCTCTCCTCTCTCCTCTCCTCTCCTCTCCTCTCTCCTCTCCTCTCCTCTCTCCTCTCCTCTCCTCTCCTCTCCTCTCCTCTCCTCTCCTCTCTCCTCTCTCCTCTCTCCTCTCTCCTCTCCTCTCAGATCTGTGAGCAGATCCTGAATCTGTGCCTCAGAGAATTGTTCGAGTTCAGATACATGCAGACGGACCCCAACTGGTCCAACTTCTTCTTCGACCCTCAAGCTCATAAGGTCCAGATCCTGCACTATTCTCTCTGTGTTATTGTGTTGTTGGAGGCGGAGCCTGTGACCTCAGATTTTCATTGACATATCTACACTCATTAATCCCACCGTTTTGCTCGTACATACATTGGTTTCAGAGCTAGGGTATACAAACAAAGTTGATTTATGGTGACTGTAGGAGTGTTGTTCTAACTACAGAACGGACTCTTGTAAGAGCAAGTCTGAGCCTCTCAGCGGCAGAACTCATCGGGAGAATACTGGATTAAATAAAGCAATGTTCATGTTCTCCAGAGGATAGATCATATCAACTTTGGTGATATCTTTACATCTATTATCCACCGTCAACAAGTCGCATTTAAAACCTCCAGACTCAGAGAGTTTCCTCCCTCAGGCCATCAGACTGTTAAACACCTGAACTCTGTGAAGAGCATCCAGAACATCCATCTGTTTGCATCTTGCTGTTTATTTATCTTTCATTTCCATTTACTTGTATCCAGACTCTTCTGCACTATTTCTATTGTATCTGTATGAACCTGCACATCTCAAAACATTCTCTTGCACTGTTTTATCTGTTGTATTAGTTGTATGTCCTAAATATATTCATGTTGCTCTGCTGGAGGAGTTTGTCATTGACACATCTCCACTGTAGCTGCTGAGCTCATGGTGACGGAGACTTGAGTCTTGAGTCTTGAGTCTTGAGTCTTGAAAGCAGGGTTTTTATTCTTAATTCCAGAAGAAGCAGAGAGTCACATTTAAAATCTGTTTCAGGTTGCTCTGCTGGACTTTGGAGCCACGAGAGGATTTGATAAAAGCTTCACCGACGCCTACATCGAGGTGAGAAGCTGAACAATACTTCAACCAAACGTAAACATATCGTTGGATTTAGGACTGATTTGATGTATCATTCCTCTTCAGATCATTAATGCAGCGGCTCACAACGACAGAGAAGGAGTTCTGAAGAGATCCAGAGAGATGAAGTTCCTCACAGGATACGAGTCCAAGGTACAAATACTGCAGATTAAAAGTACTCGTACTGCGTGTGGAAATCTACATACTATACTAGCAGATTCAGAAAACCAGAGGTGGGAGAAGTACTCGGATCTTGTACTTGAGTGCAAGTAGAAGTACTCAGTTCTTGTACTTGAGTAAAAGTAGAAGTACTCAGGTCTTGTACTTGAGTACAAGTAGAAGTACTCGGATCTTGTACTTGAGTGCAAGTAGAAGTACTCAGTTCTTGTACTTGAGTACAAGTAGAAGTACTCAGGTCTTGTACTTGAGTAAAAGTAGAAGTACTCAGGTCTTGTACTTGAGTACAAGTAGAAGTACTCAGATCTTGTGCTTTAGTAAAAGTAGAAGTACTCAGGTCTTGTACTTGAGTAAAAGTAGAAGTACTCAGATCTTGTACTTGATTAAAAGTAGAAGTACTCAGGTCTTGTACTTGAGTACAAGTAGAAGTACTCAGATCGTGTACTTGAGTACAAGTAGAAGTACTCAGGTCTTGTACTTGAGTAAAAGTAGAAGTACTCAGGTCTTGTACTTGAGTACAAGTAGAAGTACTCAGATCGTGTACTTGAGTACAAGTAGAAGTACTCAGGTCTTGTACTTGAGTTAAAGTAGAAGTACTCAGGTCTTGTACTTGAGTAAAAGTAGAAGTACTCAGGTCTTGTACTTGAGTAAAAGTAGAAGTACTCAGGTATTGTACTTGAGTAAAAGTAGAAGTACTCAGATCGTGTACTTGAGTCCTGGTCTTCTCTAAAGAAGAGGGACCAATGAAAACGTTGTCATGTTGCCGTTGTTCAGCATGGAAACATTCATTAGCTAACAATGACATTATTGTTCTATTAATATAAAGGGAGGTCAGGTACTCTTTAAAACAGCTGCTAGTTATGGGTACTTTTTACTGAAGTACACTTCAAAGCCTCTTTACTTTTACTTGAGTAAAGAAGTTTAGTCAGTACTTCTACTTTCACCATTTTTAAACACGAGTATCTGTACTTCTACTTGAGTAAAGGTGTGTACTTGTACCTTCTCCTCCAGGTGATGGAGGAGGCTCACGTGGAGGCGGTGATGATTCTCGGGGAAGCGTTCTCCTCCACGGAGCCGTTTGACTTCGGCTCTCAGAAGACGACGGAGCGGATCCACAGTCTGATCCCCGTGATGCTGAGGGAGCGCCTCACCCCCCCGCCCGAGGAGACCTACTCTCTGCACCGCAAGATGGCCGGGTCCTTCCTCATCTGCTCCAAGCTGAGGTCCCGCATCTCCTGCAACAACATGTTCAGAGAGGCATACGAGAAGTACTGGAGGGACGCCAAGTCTGAGCAGAGCTCTGCATCTGAATGAAGCTTTGTTAATACAAGTTAAATAAGCAAAGAAACTCCAGTCAGGAATACAGAGACACGAGGAGGTCAAAGGTATGATAATACAAATAAATGCAATAAAATAAATAATGAAAAATGAAATAAGATGACGCTAACTCTCCGGAGATCTCTGGATAATCTCTTTACTGCTGATATCCTATGTTCACTGATACAAGTACATGAACTCTGAACGTGTGCATCATGTTTCCCTCCAGACTAACGTGGACTTTTTAAAGTTGTGCGTGAAGATTTGTACTTATAGTTTGCAGCCTGGTTATTGCAGGAGCAGTTTGGTGTTTTTGTCCCTAATCAAGTGAACTGATATGAGTACATAAATAAATCTGAATGTCTCAATGCATCGACTTCCCGTCCAGACGTACATGAACGTTGCTTTCTTACGATACGACTCGGTCAGATCCAGTTTGAGGGGTTTCTTGCACCATCAAAAGGGCAAATGTGAAGACACGGTACAACATTTTAACATTTCAAGTTGTGTGGATTATCGTGTGTTTATAATCGATGTGTGTCCAGGAGATCAGGACAGTCAGACTCTCTAAAAACTGCTTTTAAATATGAAATAACATGTCAAATAACCCATAATATAATCATTTCCATCACGTTAGGAGTGATGTGATGGAATTAGAAACAGTCCAGCACACCAGTCCAAACGTGCATTTACTTCTTCTTGGGTTAGGGTTTGAATCTTTATGGTTTATTCAACTTATTGTTATAAATATAATGTAATATATGCATCGTATTCCCCTCCAGACGAACGTGAACATTGCTTTTTAAAGTTACGTGAGTTATTTTGTACAAATGTATAATCGTCCGTGAGATCATCCAAATATCAAATAACTCATAATATATGGAGTTTTGTGACGTCATGAGTTAGAGACCCACCAGGGATCAGAGACAACATACTTTCTCTGAAGGAGAATATTTCATTTGACGTGTCGACGTCTCACAGATTATTTCATGAAGGTGAACACATGACAGGTAGTTGAAAATGTAATCATGTTCATTTTGAGTCTCTCTTCTCCCTTGCACTAAAGAATGAACATAAAAGACGTTGAAACTGTTTAAAACAAATCAAACCAGCATTAATGGCTTCTGAGAATAAAGATGTATTTAAATACAATGAACTTATTACTGATTGAAAGGCAGAGATATGTTTAGTAAAAGCTTAAAAGCCAGTTTCACTCATTGAAGGTCTCTTTAAAGCACGTGTGACCGGCTGCGTTTGGACGGGTGTTAAACACGTACTAATATCCTGCTTCATAAACACACATGCATGTTTGTGTGAAAGTGAGAAGACGACTCCGAGGAGATCTCGTCCTTTAATGAATAAAGTTCAAACTGAATTAAAGCCAATTTAGGAAAATAAATAATAAGTTACGGAGCGAGACGACGAATGTGGTGTTCACATTTTAAATAAAATGTTTCCTTCATTGTTCTGTTTCACAAATTGATGACTTGAGTAAAAGTAGAAGTACTCAGGTCTTGTTCTTGAGTAAAAGTAGAAGTACTCAGGTCTTGTTCTACTTGAGTAAAAAGTAATGAATTCAACATAAACAAAGTTAAAACAATCATTGAAAGCCAGTTTATTGTAATGTCTTCACTCAGGTAATAAATATTTCAGATATAATCAGAACCAGCTGTTCAGCGCTCCACCTGCAGAGTGACGCTGCAGAAACCAAACTCCGAGCGGAGCAGCTGATTGGCTGAGGAGAGGACGAGGAGGGGGTCTGCATCTGAGACACACACACACACACACAGAGAAGACACAGAGAGAGACACACACACACACAGACACACACACAATTTATTACAACATACCTTAATATGATTTATTTTTCAAAATGCTTCAACGTACTATACTCCTCACACACAGGTAAACCTCAGTAGCATGTTGCTGTGCTCAGGTGTGTGTGGTTTGTGTGTACCTGTGCTCAGGTGTGTGTGTGTGTGTACCTGTGCTCAGGTGTGCAGACAGGAAGTGTTTGTTCAGGTTGAGGCTCCAGACGTGCAGGTTGTGAACGTTCTGAACTCCTCTCAGAGACAGAAGACGCTCCCTCACACTGATCACCTGCTCAGGGCTCCCTGCTGGGAACACACACACACACACACACACACACACACACACACACACACACACACACACACACACACACACACACACACACACACACACACACACACACACACACACACACACACACACACACACACTCACTAACCAGAGGTGGGAAGTAGTGGAGTACAAATACTTTGTTACTGTACTAAAGTACATGTTTCTGGTATCAGTACTTTACTCCACTACTTATTTTTCTGACGACTTTCTACTTCTTACATGTATAACACAAATACCTGTACTTTCTACTTCTTACATGTTGAACACAAATACCTGTACTTTCTACTTCTTACATGTTGAACACAAATACCTGTACTTTCTACTTCTTACATGTATAACACAAATACCTGTACTTTCTACTTCTTACATTTAGAACACAAATACCTGTACTTTCTACTTCTTACATTTTGAACACAAATACCTGTACTTTCTACTTCTTACATGTTGAACACAAATACCTGTACTTTCTACTTCTCACATTTTGAACACAAATACCTGTACTTTCTACTTCTTACATGTTGAACACAAATACCTGTACTTTCTACTTCTTACATGTTGAACACAAATACCTGTACTTTCTACTTCTTACATGTTGAACCCAAATACCTGTACTTTCTACTTCTTACATGTTGAACACAAATACCTGTACTTTCTACTTCTCACATTTCCCAAACAGGCTGGTTCCTTTAGTTTGAATGTGTGTTTGGTGGCGTGATCATTATTATTTAGAGTCATTGCGTGCCTATTGATTTGAACACGATCCGTGTATCCATCATTTCCTGGTCTTCTCTAAAGAAGAGGGACCAATGAAAACGTTGTCATGTTGCCGTTGTTCAGCATGGAAACATTCATTAGCTAACAATGACATTATTGTTCTATTAATATAAAGGGAGGTCAGGTACTCTTTAAAACAGCTGCTAGTTATGGGTACTTTTTACTGAAGTACATTTCAAAGCCCTCTTTACTTTGACTTGAGTAAAGAAGTTTAGTCAGTACTTCTACTTTTACCAGAGTATTTTTAAACACGAGTATCTGTACTTCTACTTGAGTAAAGGATGTGAGTACTCTTACCATCTCTGTCAGTAACACACTCACCTCTAGTCATTATAATACGGAAGTTATAAAGTTCCTACCCTCCATCAGGACCCTGAACACATCCTTTGAAATGGGAATCGTCGTCCCCAGAACCAGAACTGAGAACAGGAACGTGCAGATGAGATCTGCTACTTTATATTCAGGCTGTGGAGGAAAACACACATCTGATTATAAACTAATATTCAACCACATAATCAACTTCAATTTAAGAAGTTTGGGTTATTTCGCTTCCAGGGGCCTCATTTATAAAGGGATATACATATAATGTTTGCGATTTATAAAATACTAACTTGACGGGAAAATGTGCTGTCCTCCACGCAAACTCTAACCCATGCGTACGCACTAAGCACACAAACGGGAGAGACGAGAAACTGCGACACCGTTGGCAGAAGGAAGAATGGAGAGAAATATGTGGAAATAATACCATAAATAAAATGTTACCTCTCATTTATCAAATATGAATAATTCATTTTCAAACATTGATTAAAGCCAATCTTTAAATGATTAAACAAACGCCTGTTTGAAACTCCTCAGTGCACACAAAAACATAACTTGGAGAAATAAATAAATACGGATATGTTATTTAAAACCACCTCGAATATGTTGTGTTAATGTTATGAAATGTTTTCTCATAAATGATGCGGTAAGCAGGAGGACAGAATTACGTCTAAACTGACGCCGTTTTGCATTTCTATAGGTTGTAGATACGAGCATGGTTTTATATACTATCACGTTTAATCGTGTTTTATGCCGTTTGCCAAGACTTGATAAGTGGCTCGTAAAACACAGGAGGTATGGAAACTAAGAACACCATATGTGGTAAATTGTACAGCTAATATAACACAATCCATTAGTTGTATTTCCTTTAACTGGTGGATTATGGATATATAGTTGCTGATCGACAGCTGGAACACAAACCACCAAATACAACACAATAATTCAGATCCAGTCGTCATGACTACACTCCGGAGGGATTCCCCGATCATTTCTTACAGTTTCTCATCAACGTGTCTCCTGTCCCCGGGACAAACACACTGCCTGAGGAAGGTTACTGTATGTGTCTTTTTTTTGTCATTAACTTTTTTCGGACCACTTATTTATTTATTTTGGTGACGATCCGACCTCCATGCTGCTACTCTGGTTCAAACTGCATCCACCAAACAATATGATTTATCTCGACCTCCCCACAATAACCAAAATCTGACACGGTGTGAGATGTCTTTTTTAGCTGTTCTATCGTCATTTCCTGCGATCTTCTTCATGCAGTCAGTCAGTCAGAATGAATGAATGGGCGTTTCTTTGACTATGTATAGGCAAATATGGGCGTTACGAGTCGATTGTGATTTATCAAGGGAAACAGGCGTAGGGAGTGCCGTACGCACTTCCCTCGCCGGTACGCAATGTTTTGTGAATCGGAAAATGGCGGAAAATGTATGTACCTATTTTTGTGCTTTGTACTACGTAAGCAACCTTCCTACGTCAATCCTACGCAAGGCGTTATGAATGAGGCCCCAGAACATGTCTTTTTTCAAACTAGTGGACAGAAACCCTCCGAAATCCACATCTTTAGGGGTTTATTTGACCGTTTGTGTCTGCAGATTTCTTACCGAAGAAGTATTGGTACCACGGTTCGGCCAATTCGTAAATTGGTGTCAGAGCTAGGGTAATGAAATGTGGATCTATGTCAGTGTTTCTCAAACTTTTTCAAAATGCATGAAGTACAACCTCCGCTGTGGATTTTCTAAAATAAATACAGTAACACTTTGGGTTCAGGCCCAAGTTTAACATGAACTCAACTTTAAACACAAGTTAATTATTTACACTGTTCCATTTATTTAGCGTTGTTTACGCACTCATTGACTGCGTGTCTCTGTCGCTCCTATACTAGTCATTTTTAAACTATTTGAGGAACACTTTGAATTTATCATTTATTTATTTCAAATGTGAAATCAGGCCCCGATTGGTCCAGAGGCAGCACTGGGTTTAAGTCTGAATATTTGCAAAAGCTAACCCCCCCTCAGCTAACATGGTTTGTAATGCTAGCATGCTTAAATAAGAGGGTGACAATTGTAAACATGAGAGTAGCTTAGCATGTTAGCATTAGCATGTTAGCATTCACATGTTAGCATGGATGTGTTTTTTACTGACCCTGAAGTGTATGATGGTTGCAGCCAGCAGCACCCCAAAACTCTGCAGCAGATCCCCGACAACGTGAACAAAAGCTGCCCGAACACTGGCATTGTGTCCATGATGGAGGTCAAGGTGAAGGTCGTGATGATGAAGGTCATGATGAAGGTCACGCTGTTTGTCAGTCTGCAGCCTGGCGGGGGGAAAGCTGTGGTTGTGACCGTGTGAAGCTCCGGACTGATGAAGAATCAGGACCATCCTGAAAGAACAGAGGGGAAAACTCATAGTATAGTTTCAGAGATGAAAAAGTATTCAGATCTTGTACTTGAGTAAAAGTAGAAGTACTCAGAGCTTGTACTTGAGTAAAAGTAGAAGTACTCAGATCTTGTACTTGAGTAAAATTAGAAGTACTCAGAATTTACTCCAGGTGGAACTAAAGTACCTTAAACTTGTACTTAAGTACTGAGTAAATGTACTTAGTTACTTCCCACCTCTGGATGTTAGCTGTTTTTACTCACAGCACGTTGACCCCCACCGCCCCCCCCGATGTTATGAGCATGATGAAACTGTCGATCTCGTAATCTCCGTCAGAAATCCTCCGAGCGGCCGAGATCAGCAGCAAAACCGTCACGATCCAGATGGAAAACACCGACAGCAGCATGCCCAGGATCTCTGAGGGTCAGTGGGGGGAAATATTTAACTAACAGATATCACAATGAAACCCAAACTGTTCAATACTGACATTAACACAAGTACTTTTTGCATTACAAGTTTTCTGACATGTGATGTTTGAGATATGCAAATGAGGCGTTATAATGTGAATTGTTGATGAATTTAGGAGAAATCTGCAGATACAGACATTTAAGAAGTAAAACAATGAATTATCTTTAACCCATAAGAACCCAGACCCAATTCTACTTTTGGGGAAATTAAGGGGAACATCATTTAGACCATATAGTTGAACACATTTCGGACAAGTAACACCCCCTAGTGTCAAATATCTGAAAAGTGAGATATATGTCACATTGGGCGATAGTGGTAAAGTCATGCTTATTAATAACTTAAAGTGGACCTATCATGCTATATTAATAATATAGTGTAGGACCATACCTATATAAGGCATATTTATACTTTTTTTTTTTCAAAATACCAAACAGATCATGCATTTTAGCCATGCCTCATTTTGCTCAATTTGACATTTTTTAGCTCTGTTTTAGCAAGGGCAGATTCAGTGAGAACAGCACCACCTACAGGCCTGGCATATGTACTACAGCGTCTCCAGCGCTTTCGAACGGCAATGGCCGTGGCTGTCTCCTCCTGATTGGTGGAGTTGGCCCAATAGCCGTAGCGCCACCGTCCTGACGTCAGGACAGTGTTCAAATCTGGATCAGTTTTGATCAGATCCGTTGCAGCCCCTTTTTTAGAGATTTGGGTATGGAGGAAAATAGAGAGGGTTGTGTTTTCTGACACTTGGTGAGTTCCCTGGAACACCGGGGACACATATTCATGTAGAAAAGACGTACACAAGTGCATTTTGCATGATAGGTCCCCTTTAATTAATGAGGATGATTTTTTTGGTTGAAATTTCTTTAAACATTCTTTGAATTGAAGAATATAGAATATATTAACTAGATATCCTTGAATCATGATCATATTTCTAATTGTGACATGTCACTCTAGAGTTACTGAGAAAGTTTAAGGTTAAAGTCCCGATGTGAAATTAATGATATTTATCTTATTTGTTTCATATCAATTTGATCAAAAAATGTTTTCACAACCGGTTAAACGTAATAAAGGACATGTTATGTAAGCATTATAATTCTTTAATGGCTTGAATCTTAAAGGTCTCCTATCATGCAAAAGTCACTTGTTGATGTCTTCTCTACATCACCATGTGTCCCCGGTGTGTCAGGGAACTCACGCAGCGTCAGGAAATAAAACCCTCTCTCTTTTCCTCCGTACCCAAATCTCTAAAAACGGGGGAACAACGGACCTGATCCAGATTTGTGTCCGATATGACGTAATATCTGAAATGTGGACCCACGGCACTATCAGAAACGTTGCTATCAGAAACAATGCCCGACTGTTTTGGGCGTAATATGGTCGGTGTTTACATTAGCATCGCTAACACTCAGAGCTAACCTGTACTGGAGAGCATGTGTGTGAAGAAGCAGGAAATAAAAAGGAACTCACCTTGTGGTATAACCGGCAAGAGAGAAAGCCTTTGAGCTCCAGACTGTTTCAGAAACAATCCTTGGTAATCCATGATATGGCGTTTCATCACGGCAGCATTTAGTTTAGACAGTAGCTGCCGGGTCCCCCATGAGCTCAGACCCCTCCTATTTTATCAACTTTATACCCCAAATCAGCACTTTTGAAACAGGAAGTGAAATAGAGGGATATGAGGCATGGCTAGAATGCGTGATCTGTTTGGTATTTTGAGCAAAACACTTCATAGATATGTTTTATATATTTTTGTATATATCTGAGACCTATGCTGTTGCCTGAACATAGCGGGATAGGTGACCTTTAAGTTTAGCAACAAAAAACAAGCTTTTGAAAAGTTCTGTCACATGTGTCAGCCTGGCCCATGGACATATTGGACATGTTGTTATTTGTGTCAAAAAAGGTCATAATATAGTAAGACGTAAAAAAGCTCGGTGCTGCAGCTGCATGTCTTTAACAAGGGCCACATATTTAATAAGTAAAGCAATGATTTATCTCTAAATATTAATACATATTTCTGCTTTAAAGTGCAGAGACCTGCTCGATGCCATCCGAAGGTCATGGAGTCAGTCTTTGGTCTGGAGGAGAGCCACAGAGAGAAGCAGCTGATCGAGATGCTGCAGACGTCCGTCAGCAGGTGAGCTGCGTCCGTCATGATGGCCAGACTCTGAGCGAAGTATCCACCTAAGAGGGGGGGGGGGGGTGTAACTGACAGTTTTTAAACAGAGAGAGATCTGTCTATGTTTGATTTAATTCTCTGATTGTGAAGGTTGTCATTCGAACTGTTACCGGGCAGAACTGGGCAGTTAGTAATACTTTAATTGACTTAATTGATTACTGTATCTGTTAATTGATCCAATCATATCCTGTTGAAGTGAAGTTATGAATGTAAGAGATGCATTTACTTTATCTGTTTTAGGATTGGTTGATATTGTGAAGAATGTGATGTCTGGATATGTTTTAGTTGTTACTGCAGGAATAATGAAAAGGAAAACAAATATTTGGAATAAGCTTTAAATAATAGTTGAAATTAGTAGTTGTTTTGGCTCCTCCCCCTTCTCACCGACCACCTCCCCGGTCATGAAGACGAGGCTGACGACGGCGGCCAAGATGAGCTTCTTCCTCGCCGAACGCCTCGCAACGCTTTCCTCCGGCAGAGTGTCCGAGTCCCTGCAGAACCGGGAGGGAAACCCTGCGTCTTCGTCTGCATCGGATTCTGAGTCTGAACATCTGGGTTCTGGAGAACTGGACCTGAGCAGAGAGGGGGGGGGGGGGGGGGAATCATCAGATACTTAACAGAATTCTGAGATTTTAAGAACAAAAATCGATTTAATTATTATTTTTACTAAGAAGAATGAGATCAACAGATATTATTTTCAGTCTTCAGAATTATATTTCAATGTTTTCAAAATTCTTAGCTCAAAAGATTTTCAGATTTTCTGATGTTTTTATTTTTTTATTTCAGAATTCTTAAAAAAAAAAATTAGATTCTGATATTTTCATAAAAAATAAGAAATATAAGAATTCTGAGGAAAATGTAAATGATAAAAAAGACTTTGACCTCAAAGTTCTGAGAACAATATCAATAATATATTCTTTAATGAAAATCTCAGAATTCTGACATGTTCCAGAGATACCTGAGGAAAAAAATATATAATTTATTTTCTTTGAATTTCAGAAATTCGACTTTAATCTGAGAAATAAATCAGAAATCTGGGGAGATTTTCAGATTTTGTTATTATTTTCTTCTCAGAATCGTCACTTTAATCTCAGGGCGGTGGTCCATAGGGACTTGGCTTGGCAACTGGAAGGTCACCAGTTCAAGTGCCGGCAAGACCAAGTGCTACCGAGGTGTCCCTGAGCAAGGCACCGTTCCCTACACTGCTCCCCGGGCGCCGGACATAATGGCAGCCCACTGCTCCTAACACTAGGTCAAATGCAGAGAAACCGTTTCGTTACTACCTGTACTACGTAACGACAATAAAAGTGCACAAAAAAAAAAAAAAGAACTGAGAGAAAAGAAAATCTATTTTTGTTTTCGGAAAATATCAGAATCTCGACTTTCTTCCCAGATGATCTAACTTTAATCTCTGACTTTTTCCTTTTTGCATTTTCAGATTTTCAGAAAACAAATATATTTTCTTTTTCTCATAGTTCAGATTTTTTAAGTCAGAATTCTGAGGTGTTATTTTTCAGGATTCTAACTTGAATTACACTTCAGGCCAGATCACATTACATCACATTACATGTTACTTGTTAGACGCTTTTATCCAAAGCGACTTACATACTCAATACTGTGGGCAATCCCCCCAGGAGCAATTTGGGGGGAAGTGTCTCAGGGACACAACGACATGCTGACTGCAGTGGGGTTTGAACCTGTGACCTCCTGACCCCCATACCAAGGCTCTATCCACTGCGCCACACGCCTCCCAGATCTCATGTGGCTCTGATCCTCTTCCGTAGCGTGAAACCCGACATGAGAGGACTAAGATTATTAAAACGTACCGTCTGTGAGGATCCGGATGAATCAGAAGCTGCTTTTCTGAATCCTCCGATAGCTCCATTTATTCTGCCTGTCCGTTTCAATCAAGTTTAACTGGAGCTGGTTCTCCTGAAAACTGGTTCTCCTGTAAACTGGTTCTCCTGTAAACTGGTTCTCCCTGTGAGTTTAAATAAAGTTCAACTGAAGCTGGTTCTCCCTGTGAATTTAAATAAAGTTAAAATGAAGCTGGTTCTCCTGTAAACTGGTACTCTGGTTCTCCTGTAAGCTGGTTCTCTGGTTCTCCTGTAAACTGGTACTCTGGTTCTCCTGTAAGCTGGTTCTCTGGTTCTCCTGTAGTTTTAAATGAAGGTGTATCTGGAGTCCTTCCACCTGCTGCAGCTCTCTTTTCTCCCAGAGGAGGAGTAGCAGCAGCCAATAGCAGGCGAGCTCAGAGCTGCAGCAGCCAATAGCAGGCGAGCTCAGAGCTGCAGCAGCCAATAGGATGCGAGCTCAGAGCTGCAGACGTTACAATGAAAACACAGATTTAAGATTTAATGACATCTTTATTTTATCAGACAAATATTTTACAGAAACAGACATTTTGGCAAAGTTTAAAAAATGGCACAATTACCCGAGGAATGTTGAGATGATAAAAACAAATATATATCCATTTTCTTTTGTTTGTCTTTTGTTTTTAAAGGTTGATTAAAACAAAAAAATATATATATATATTTTTTGTTAACATTTGATCCAAATAATTGAAAAATAATCCAAATAAAAAAAGTATGTAATCTGGCACTTTAGTGAGTTTTCTGTCAAGTAAACAAAACATTTCTAAAAGTTTAAATTTCAATCAAATAGTCAAAATAAAAAAATCTAAAAATTAAGTTTTCTTTAGATTTGTACAAAACGCAGAAACCTGACATTCCTACACCCAGCAGATAAACAAACAACACAAATATGATGACATAATTTAAGGAGTTTTATCTTAATATACACTTAATTTGTAATAAAACCTCCAATGAAAATATACCTCTGAATTTACATCATCTCTCTCACCAGAGATCACTTCCTCGACTCACCTGAGAATATCCATCCCAACATTTGGCCATAACTGTGTTTGTTTAGCAGGAAGTGTTGTTCAGTAATATCAGACGATAAGAAGGAGCTTTATCAGTACCTTAAGAAGTATTGGAGGTCACCTTATGAAGTATTGGAGGTCACCTTAAGAAGTATTGGAAGTCACCTTAAGAAGTATTGGAGGTCACCTTATGAAGTATTGGAGGTCACCTTATGAAGTATTGGAGGTCACCTTAAGAAGTATTGGAAGTCACCTTAAGAAGTATTGGAGGTCACCTTATGAAGTATTGGAGGTCACCTTAAGAAGTATTGGAGGTCACCTTAAGAAGTATTGGAGGTCACCTTAAGAAGTATTGGAGGTCACCTTAAGAAGAATTGGCGGTCACCTTAAGAAGTATTGGAGGTCACCTTAAGAAGTATTGGAGGTCACCTTATGTGCAGGAACAGCAATAAGAAAACAAATGACGGGAAATAAGCTTTATTTTTTTGATTTATGTGCATTAGATGTCTGTGTTTTACCCAGGTATGGAGCTGAAGTCAAGAAATAAGTAGCCGAGGTCTGCAAAACGACTGCAAAGAAGGAAAAGCGCTATCTTAGTTTAGCATAGAGCAGTAATACAGGGAGAAACAGCTAGCTTAGCTTCCAATGAAGACAGAAAACAAGAAAGAAACGCTATCCTGGCTTTGAAAAAGTGCCTTATACTAGAAGGGGGAAACAGCTAGCTTAGCATAGAGCAGTAATACAGGGAGAAACAGCTAGCTTAGCACAACAACGTGGAAATAAGGACTGGAAATAATGATAAACAGCTAGCTTAGCTTCACATAAAGTAGCAATACAAGGAGAAACAGCTAGATTAGCTTAGCATTAAGTAGCAATACAGGGAGAAACAGCTAGCTTAGCATAAAGTAGCAATACAGGGAGAAACAGCTAGCTTAGCATAAAGTAGCAATACAGGGAGAAACAGCTAGCTTAGCATAAAGTAGCAATACAGGGAGAAACAGCTAGCTTAGCATAAAGTAGCAATACAGGGAGAAACAGCTAGCTTAGCATAAAGTAGCAATACAGGGAGAAACAGCTAGCTTAGCATAAAGTAGCAATACAGGAAGAAACGGCTAGTTTAGCTTAGCATAAAAACTGGGAAATGTGGACATGAAAATAGGAAAGTTAGCAAGGCTCTATTTGTTCTAACTGTGGTTTTAAGGAGAGTTGAATGCTGGAAATCAAAACAAGAGATATCCAAACTCCCAGAAACGTATTTTCAGGGCGTCTCAAATTATTAACGCTTATAGTGACGACAGCGAGTTTTAAAACCATGCTAACTTTCCCTACTACTTCCAGTCATGATGCTAAGCTAAGCTAACCACATCCTAGACTGCAGCTCCATACTCCATATTTTGTGGGTGTAATTTTTTATTCTAAATACAGTTTAATTCAAAACAAGTTATGATTATAAAATTATTTGTTGGTTAACTAATTTAATGCCTGAAAATAACACAAATATGGACCCTTGTCTTTACGAAAATATAGTGCTGTGTTGTCAATTAAAGACTAAGCAATGAAACACCTAATTTTGTCTAAGTTTTAGAAGGAAAGTGACTAAGCTTTTCTCCCAAAATGTTGATTAAATCCTGTATTGTCCGTCAGCATCTCTGTTAATTCTACTATTTATTTACATCCAAACATACAGATGTCACAATACGCTGTTCATCATTTCAAAAAGCCCTATTTTCTATAATATGTGTTTATGTGCAGCGTGGCTGAACCCATCGAGTGGTTGGCTTTAAAAGTAACATTTTGCATTAAAAAGTATTAAAACATTTCGGCCGCCTTTGAGCCGAAACGTCGTCAGACCGTCGCGGCAGCTTTTTCGATATTAAAGTGCACAAAGACAAATATATTCCAGAGCTTTGATCTGCATGGCTTTCGTCCCTGAAGTCCGACACGAGATGGGACCAAAGACAAACCCACTGGTAGTTTCAAAAAGGAAAAATATGGCACAATATCACCGCTAAAAATCTCTCTAAAGCGGTCGCTGATGGTCGGGGTTTCGTCCAATCACTTGATGCCGTTCGTGGCGTGAGGCTGAATCACGATGGGTGCATTTTCACCTGCAGGAAATTTAAAAAAAACAGGACATTTGTTAAGTTTCTTATTTCAAATTTTGCAGCAAAAGCAGCAACACGTAGATGGAAAGCATAGATGGGGATACACTTGACCACATTAAAGAGAGGAGGGTGCATCGGTACGGAAGAGGATTAGGGCCACAAGTGAACTAAAACAAATATATATATTTTCACATGTGGTCCTAATCATCGTCCATGCATCGGCAATATTAATCAAAATAAGAATGACTTTCCCCAGAAGGAAATTAGCTTTTGTTAGAGTTGCTTTCAAAGTTAATACAAAAACAGAGAAGTTAAAAGTACAATTTGTGCAAATAAATATGTAAAATGACAATCCAATAATAAGATATTCTACATTCTGATAATTTGCTTTCCATCAGGTATCACGGATTAATGACATATAATAATATTAAGCAACAAAGGCGAAGTCCCGCCCTTCTACTTCCGCCCCATGGGACCTCGGAAAAATTATGTATTGAAGTCAATGGGGAGAGAAAGATTATCTTTCGGTCCCGTTTGAATTGTGCCACGAATTACACATATGATGTTTGTCAATTTAAAAGATAATTTCCATGTCAAAAAAGTCACAGTTTGTCGTAAAACTGTTGAAATATAAGACTATGAAAAATACGCAACTAGAAAGACTACAAATCCCAGAGTCCCGGTCCCGCATGCTGGCTCTTAGGAACCGACTAACTCCCCTTGTGTGTATGTACAGCTCTCAACATGCCCAGACTTGGAGTGATTTTCACCTCGTTTAATACTTTCCGCCTCATTCTGAAAGAAAGAAGTGAAATGTGCCAACGTGACGGCCGTCTTGGTGTGTGGTGCGAGACGGGAGATGTAGTTCATTGAGCGGTTTCACACAAATAAGTGTTACTTTAAGTTTTACGACACATTCTTTTTTTTAACTTGCAAAATTATCTTTTAAATTGATAAACATCATATGTGTAATTCGTGGCACAATTCAAACGGGATCCAAAGATAACATTTCTCTCTCCATTGACTTCAATGCATAATTTTTCCGAAATAAGGTCCCATGGAGCTCCCCCGGAAAGGGAGGGACTTCGCCTCTCTATTGGTGTAAGCAAGCACATGTATTAATAAGCAACACAGGAAACAACGATACCACATTTTAAAACAGCGTCCTGTAGAAGTGGTAGGAAGAAATGTTAGCCAGTGATTCGGCAAACAAAGCCAGGAGCTGCTGAAAACCAAACGTCCTCGATGGAAAAGCTTAAAGCTTGATGTTCTGTGAGTTAGTGAAGCAGCCGAGGACAGGTGAACTTTATAACTTAACTATAACTTTACCTGTGGAGTTGACGACTGTTTCTGAAGTGTCAGCGCTCGGCTGAATAATTATTACATGGTCTGCCGCTGTGAAAAAGAAAATGTAACACTGAGAAAACCCCCTCTACTTCTTATCATCAGAGTGTTGCACCAGCTAAAGGTCAAAGGGGTTACAACCTTTCCACCTATAATGTTTCTGCAGCAGACGGTGAAGGACACTCTGCGCTCTCTTACTCTTGACTGCGCATTAACTGGGACATGATTGTGGTTTTAAAAAAATATGACCTTATAGGTAAAATAGAGCGGTGCAGGGATGACGTATTTACCCTGAAGGAAGCGGCTGGTTCCCTCGACAAAAAAGCAACGGGATTTCTCCTTAGGGTTTAGGAAAAGAGCTGGAAATAAGATCTGTGGAAAACGAACCTGTTTGATAAATGCACGTTTTGTTCAGCCGGATAATCTCCACATGTCTAACCTACTTTTATCATGTTCTAATCATAAATCTAATGGCCAGAAGCTAAATGCTAACGTTATGCTATAAAGCACAAACTCAAGGCCCGGGGGCCAAATCAGGCCCTTGGTGGATTTAATTTCGGCCCGCAGGATAATTCTTAATTACTATTAGATCTGGCCCTCCGGTATATTGCACGCACACCTTCACTCCATCCTGAGGGTCTCCTCAGCTCAGAGCCTGAGCCCAAACATTGATGACCTTGCACCCAAGATGAGATGCCAAGTATCTGAGCTAGCATCACAGAGCAGCACACTGAGTTCACATGGGTGTTTCCTTCTGCACTTTTTCTCTCACGACAACAGGCCATGTTTGGTTTTCTCTTTGAGGGAAATAGTTTTGTTGAAGCTGTTGTTGGCCTGTGGAGAAATGTACTCATAAGAAATGACTCTGGAAAAGCTGCAGATGGAGCCGTAAGAAATGAATGCAACTGATTATTTAATGTTTAATGTTGTTTTTATAGGCAATCATTTAAGCTTTGTTAGTTCCAGGTTTAATATGTGCAATAAGTTCATTTCAATAAGTTTTGAAATAAACATTGAACCAGTCCGGCCCTCGACTAGTACCCATTTTTTTATTTTGGCCCACTGTGTATTTCAGTTTGACGCCCCTGCTATAAAGGAGCTACAGCCGAGTCCAGCAGCACGACTTCAACGTCACGCCAACTTCAGATCCATATTCAAACACACAGATTCTAAATGGTACGAGTTGAAGCGTTTGTTTGAACAGTTTGCAGGAGGCAGGGACTTGCTTTCAAGCTGAACAGGGCAAACAAACTTAGGGCAAACAAACTTAGAGCAGTGTTTACGTGTTCGGCGTAATGACGTACAACGTCCTCCACAACTTCTGTAGTCCTATTCAGCCACTTGGTAACAACCATCGTTTTTCAGACACGTACACTCTTCAGAAATCACCAGTGGGGTCACTGCTGATCAGTGGCGAGCCGTCAGGGCCCTCTAGGCCCTCTGTGAGGGCCTAAGATATTCTAAAAAATAATATTTAAAAACATTTAAAAAAAATATATATTTTTTTTAAATATATATTTTTTTAATATTATTTTTGTTATGTTTTTCATTAGTTTTACAGAAAAAAAAAACTTGATTTAATTGTATTTAAAATAACATTTCCAAATAAATAAATCCTTCGAATCTGCCTGTTCAGTCTCTGTTGAATGTGAAGGGTTACATGAAAGAAGCTCGTCTGGCCCTCTCTGCGATTCACAGAGGGCCCGCTATAGCAACTGAACGAGAGAGTAATGTCAAATGACAGTACAATTGACCAATCATATCTTCCCTCTAAATGGGTGGGTTTTATTATCGCGGACTTTATGACAAGTTCCGCCCGCTGTGAAACTTTTCTTGTTTCCATAGCAACAACAACTTCCTGTCAACAGCGTGAACTCGCCTTCAAAATAAAAGCATGCCAAATTACACTTAAGACATACAACTGCAACGAAAGTAACAAACACAATGCAATATCATTTTCAATGTCAAAGAACACAAATTGGGTTCACAGGTGTTGTTTTGTGTGGCAGAGGGTCGCTGTCATTGATACGTTTTGCACCCTGGGCCGTTGTTTTGATATTCCGCTGAAGTATACGCTGTGACGTAATAACTATTTTTTTTTTCTTTTTTTCGAGGGAATTGGTGGGGGTCAGAGGGCCTAGGTATAAAGCTCACGGCTCGCCACTGCTGCTGATGGATTTAATGTCGTAGAACAAAACGTGATCCGTCTCTTCAATGTGTCTCAACCACAGACCTTATTTCAGCTATTTTCCTAAATCCTATGGAGAGATCCCATTGGCTCTGAGACGAGGGAACAGGAAGTGGTGAAAATGCTGACTCACTTCCTGGTTTTAGGACTCGTCACTGCACCACTCGACAGAAATCCACCACAACCTCTGACAGCTAATTCTGTCAAAAACACGGTAAAGGAAAAAGCCAAAACTGCTCTGACGTTGGGAGAGTTGGACAAAGTACTGACTTGGTGAGATTCTTGCCACCAGGTCCCTCTCAGATAGAATTTCCTGCTGCGATGTGGTTGTGAAATGCAACAAGCACTTTCACAACCACATCGTTGTGAAATCCAGCCACTTTGGCCTCAGGTGCTCGAGAACAGATGGGGGAAACGCACGCAGATCAACTTGTGGAAACAAGTCAAATTGCGTGTCATCCTTGCACAAGGGGGCCGTGCTAATCTTCTCTCTAACGTTTCCAATGTTTCATATGTACGTACACAACGCAATAGAAAATGTGTGGATTCATTGTTTTGTCGACCTCGCTGTCTTTGTGATTTGTATAAACTGCCGGTTAATTCAGTCTGCATCTATATGTGGGATTAATCCACAGAGAAAGCCAAAACCACGTCTCCTCTGCATCGTTTCCACTTTCTCAAGCCTCTCTTCCTAATCTGTGTCTCATGAGAGTTTTATAGTTTCACGGATGTCTTAAAATACAAAAGGGACAACACTTGCCGTTTCAGATAACCCTTCTGACAATGAATGTGTTGTTCCAGCAGCTGGAGGACATCATCTGAATCATCTTACCTGCGTCCTGATTTCTGATCTCTGCCTCCAGGTCTTCAGGGTCCACATAGGCAAAGTGTTCCTGTTCTTCGCTCGTCTTGCACTTCCCACAACAGAAGCAGCAGCAGCAGAAGCAGCAGCAGCAGGTGAAGATCCCGCAGCAGACCACCAGGCCCTGAACACAGAGGAAAGGGAGAGAGAAGGTCAATTAGGAAGGGGGCGAATCAGGCAGGCGGGAAGTCAGTCAGAGTTGGGGGTGCGGGGAGGTCTGCTAGTGGAGCCTCGCAGCGGTGAAACTGTGGCGCGCTTACACTATAGGTGCGCCGCGTTTGCTGCAGCCCCCTCAGCACCCCCCCTTCCCTCGTCCATGGGGCGAATCCATTGTTTTTGGTTGTTTTGTACAAAAAAATGATTTATCTAAAACAATGAATCAAATATCACGGATGCTGATGGCGATTAGGGATGGGGATTTGAAAGCACATTTTTATTCGAATATTTGACCCAGCAAAAAAAACGAATTTACATATCCTTTAAAAAAAAAAGATTTCTGATATTTTTCTTAAGATATTTAAAATGGCACTGTCGTATATACATTTAATTAATCCATTTGATAATATGTAATCAACTTAGGCACCCCTCCCATAAAAAAAAATACAAAAAATGTAATTAAAATATTCATAACTCGTATTCGAATAATCATTCCCATCCCTAAACTTTTACTTTCATGAACAATGTACGCAAGAGGCAGTGGCGATTCTAGAGTGTGTGGGAGCCCTAGGCAAACATTCACTGGGGGCCCCTCGAACCAGCTTTTCATCACCACACACAGCCGACAGCACCCCCCGCATTAATTTGCAAGAAGTGCGAACACAAGTCGGAGCCGAAAAACGTTGTTAATAATCTACGAGATTATCCAGACGCAAAATGAGTTTCTGTTGGAAGTAGTTTCTTAAAATAGACTTGTAAATATTCGTAAATGACATTTCTACAACGCTGCTATTAATGGTAACTCAACTTTAAACCACGCAAACATTATTATCGGCCCTGAACTCCTTCATCAGGAGAAACACTGCAGCTTCAGACGCTTTAAAACCTCCGGTGCTGTACAGTCAAATAAACAAACAAACATACGCAAATCAGCTCACACACCATACAACAAGTACAAGCAGAAACAATAGATCATTTAAATACAGTAAAAGCAACACTCTAAAAGAACATCTTCATCAACTTGACAACACGTGCAGCATTTAGAAAACATTCAGCAGCTTGAGGAAAGTTATGTTGTTAGTTCTCTAAACGCTGCATGTGTTGTCAAGTTGATGAAGATGTTTCTTCGTGTGGAACATTTGGGGTTTTATATCTGCATCCTTTCTGAAGCTGCAGCACGTTTCTCCTGATGGAAGAGATTCCTTTACACTTCAATTATTTAAAGGTCACCTATCATGCTATTTTTAAGCAATAGCATAGGTCTCAGATATATATATATATGTATAAAGCTTTAAAAAATAAAAAAGTAGGGGTCTGAGCTCATGAGGGACCCGGCAGCTACTGTCTAAACTAAATACTGCCGTGATGAAACGCCATATCATGGATTATCAAGGATTGTTTCTGAAACAGTATGGAGCTCAAAGGCTTTCTCTCTTGCCGGTTATACCACAAGGTGAGTTCCTTTTTATTTCCTGCTTCTTCACACACATGCTCTCCAGTACAGGTTAGCTCTGAGTGTTAGCGATGCTAATGTAAACACCGACCATATTACGTCCAAAACAGTCGGGCATTGTTTCTGATAGCAACGTTTCTGATAGGGCCGTGGGTCCACATTTCAGATATTACGTCATATCGGACGCTAATCTGGATCAGCTCCGTTGTTCCCCCGTTTTTAGAGATTTGGGTACGGAGGAAAAGAGAGAGGGTTTTATTTTCTGATGCTGCGTGAGTTCCCCGACACACCAGGGACACATGTTGATGTAGAGAAGACATCAAAAAGGGACTTTTGCAGGATAGGTCCCCTTTAAGAGAGAAGTATGAAGGGAATATTTGGGGATTTTCTGGAAGTGGCAGTAATAGAGATGGATGCTTCACAGCTTATGTATTCATTAAATTAGGTAGAATAACCCGACAGGTGGTTTTTGGTTGTAGTTGTGTAACAGTTTTTCAGTTCCTTGAAAAGACAATGAGTAACCTGAAGAGTTTCTGCTTTCTGAAGTGGCAACACTTTCTCCCATATTACACATGCAAACGTTTCCTCTCACCTTGAACCAGCACTTGGACATGAGGAAGTAATATTTGACGCTCTCGTCCCCAAACTGCTCGGCGACGTAGAGTCCCATCGATCCGTACTCATCATAGATCTTCCGTTTGTTCTCATCGCTCAGGATGGAGTTGGCGTTGTTGATTTCCTTGAACTTGTCCGCAGCCTCTGGGTTGTCTGGGTTTTTATCCGGATGATGCCTCAACGCCAGTTTCCTGTAAATAAGAGTATAACTTAGATTAGCTTTTTTTTAGCAACCCCCCAATTTAAATGTTATTCTTTATTTTTTACCTCCCTCTGTATTGTTTTATTTGTTTTATAGGTCTCAATCTTTTTATTTGCATTTATGTTGTACCGATATGTTCGGTACGATATATTGTTGCATCGACTCAGTTGTCTTCTGTCTTATCCGTCAGAGAGAAACCATCAGTTCCTTTTCATTAGTGCACTCAAAGGGCCGGTTGTAATTAAAGACTATATAAATATACATATATAAATATATCAAATAATGTATTATATTACATTATTGCCTCTTCATTGGATTATTATTTAATAGGGTAATAACTTCATAATTAACTACGTCTGAAAGCAGAAGTCTAGGGCAAATAATTGTAAGTCTCTTCAGTGTGCGTGTCACAAAATGAGATGCATTGTGGGACATGTAGTTTATGGACAAGTGATATTTGTGAACACACCTGTACGCTTTCTTTAGTTCCTCTGGCGACGCTCCTTTCTTCAAATCAAGGATCTTATAAAGGCTTTCTCCTGCCGTCGACATTTTACGCTGAGATCTGTTTTGGTCCTCCATGATTCTGAAACAAGTAGAATATAAAGATATATATTATAGGAGAGGACTCTTTAAAGTAGAGACACTACATACTGATATACACCTGAACATCAGCAGGAGAGGACTCTTTAAAGTAGAGACACTACATACTGATATACACCTGAACATCAGCAGGAGAGGACTCTTTAAAGTAGAGACACTACATACTGATATACACCTGAACATCAGCAGGAGAGGACTCTTTAAAGTAGAGACACTACATACTGATATACACCTGAACATCAGCAGGAGAGGACTCTTTAAAGTAGAGACATTACATACTGATATACACCTGAACATCAGCAGGAGAGGACTCTTTAAAGTAGAGACACTACATACTGATATACACCTGAACATCAGCAGGAGAGGACTCTTTAAAGTAGAGACACTACATACTGATATACACCTGAACATCAGCAGGAGAGGACTCTTTAAAGTAGAGACACGACATACTGATATACACCTGAACATCAGCAGGAGAGGACTCTTTAAAGTAGAGACACTATATACTGATATACACCTGAACATCAGCAGGAGAGGACTCTTTAAAGTAGAGACACTACATACTGATATGAACCTGAACATCAGCAGGAGAGGACTCTTTAAAGTAGAGACACTACATACTGATATACACCTGAACATCAGCAGGAGAGGACTCTTTAAAGTAGAGACACTACATACTGATATACACCTGAACATCAGCAGGAGAGGACTCTTTAAAGTAGAGACACTACATACTGATATACACCCTGAACATCAGCAGGAGAGGACTCTTTAAAGTAGAGACACTACATACTGATATACACCTGAACATCAGCAGGAGAGGACTCTTTAAAGTAGAAACACTACATTCTGATATACACCTGAACATCAGAAGGAGAGGACTCTTTAAAGTAGAAACACCTGCACCTCGTTGTCCCCATAGTGTGTCTCTTATTCTATTCTATTCTTTATCTTATCGACTAGTCTCTACATTAGGTTTTGCATGTTAACTCAATACAAAATAAAATAAACCCAGGCCAGCTATATGAACTTGTATCTCTTCGGGGGGTGAATAATAACAATAATAAAAATTCCTAACTGAGTACAAAGTCACATTTAAAGCACTTTTAATTGCTTATAAACTCTTTGAGGAAGTAAATAAAGCAAAAATAAAAGGTGAAGTACAGCATGCTGGGAGTCCAGACAGCCCATAATATTAGCTATAATGCTAGATAAACAAACATAGTTTCAGTTAATTTAAAAAAGCACTTTCCTAGAGTCAGATATTTAACTTTAAACACTTTTATTAAAGTTAAATCCTGCCGGCTGACGTCACGACCAACTGCTAACAGAGCTAGCTAACTTTAGCATCGGCGTTAAATCTCACCTCCTGGAAGATGTCCTCTTTCTGTGTCAGATCATAAAGTCCCGAGTGTCTCCGCTGCTGCTGGATCTAACGTCTGTCCCATAAAGTGAAGCAGTTTGTCGGGTGTTATCTTTTAAAAACTTCTCCTGATGAGAAACACAGGAAAAAGTTCCGCAGAGAAGCAGGAAGTCACCGCAGACCGGAAGTACGTCACTTAAACTACGTACATTTATGAAAACAAAAACAATTATTTATGTTTTTAAGTATTTATTATAAAACACATACTTTGAATCAA